GTCTAACAGCCATGAGATTAAGAGTGTGATCGGAGAGTTTTTGTGTTCTTCTGCGGCGGGTCTTGCAGAACTTAGCTCCGACCGCATGGACAGTTTCCACGAGCTTGTCGTTCATATCGTCCACTGCATTGCAATCTTCTAGGCACTGGAAGCGGTTACGTAACTCGAGCTGAAAGGTTTCGGGATTCTGGATTAGAGCACGAGGGGGGACGGAGCGTTGACTTCATTAGACGAGACCTCTCCAACTTAACGTTTAGGTTCAGTGTGCCTCTAACCATTCGGTGATCGCTGCCAGTTTTCACCCTTGCGATCACTGAGACATCACTGAACAGTTGGCGTCTGGTCGTCATAATGAAGTCAATCTCATTTTTTGTCGAACCGTCGGGGCTCGACCAGGTCCACTTCCTGTGGGGCCGCTTCTGGAAGAAAGAGTTCATCATAAAGAGTCCCTCTTTCTCCATAAAGTCGGCCAGCTGCTGGCCCCTTCGGTTCCGTTGCCCTACTCCAAATTTCCCTACCTTCAGCTCACCGCTTTCTCTTGTGCCCAGTTTTGCGTTGAAGTCTCCCATCAACATTCCTCCTCCTTGGGACAGATGGTCGCCCTCCCGGTGATAGAACAAGTTGCCGGACTCGAGGATTGCCGTGTCCTCCCCCTCTCTTCGGACCTCGGATAATCCAATAATATGCCAGCGCAACTTGTCTACCTCTTCTTCCAGCTCCAGTATCTTCTCGTCAGTCCTCAGGGTGCGTGCGTTATATGTTGCCAGGTCGAGTCGTCGTAGGTGGCAACCGAACCTCCACCGGAGATTCTTAGCACCCCCCTGCCCCGCCGTTACCATGGGCGCCACCGTAGCCAGGAATAGCGGGGCCGCCGGGGACTGGGGGCCGTCTGTTTGTGTATTTATTCATTGGGGGGTATTTGCCATAGTTGCCACGCTTGGCGAGCGGGTTGGCAACCGCAGTTTTTTATTACGTCACAGTTGTCATCAGGAAGACGCTGCTGCCCATCTCCTGCCTGTCTCCCTCTGTCGCCTCTTACGACACCCACGGGAAGATATGGGGTAGTGGATATTCTTAACCGCCACTACACGGTCATTTACAAATGGTTGTCCCTAAAGCCAAAGTACCGGATGTTCTACAGCTGTACCATAATGATTATTCAGGAGGCCATCTGGGAGTTAAACGAACTCTACTGAAGATCCGAGAACGGTTTTACTGGGTCCACTGTCGAAACGATGTGGAGGACTGGTGTCGCAAATGTACAAGTTGTGCGGCTGTAAAGGGACCTCGGACTCGTAGTAGAGGTGCATTGAAGTTGTACAATGTGGGTGCACCATGGGAGAGAACAGCCATTGTCGTGGCGGGGCCGTTTCCGGAGAGTGAAAGCGGTAACAAGTATTTAATGGTTGTGATGGATTACTTCACTAAGTGGCCAGAAGTCTTCGCCATTCCAAATCAAGAAGCTTCAACAGTTGCAGATAAACTAGTTCATGAAGTCTTCTGTCGTTTTGGAGTACCTTTAGAGATTCACAGCGATCAAGGAAGGAATTTTGAGTCTCAAATATTCCAGGAAACTTGCCGAGTTATGGGTACTCATAAAACAAGAACGACTTCTTATCACCCGCAATCTGATGGAATGGTGGAACGATTTAATCAGACATTGGAGAGGTACCTAGCAAAAGTTGTAGACAATCGGCATCGAGATTGGGACAAGCACATACAACCGTTTTTGTTGTCATATCGAAGTTCTGTTCACGAAAGTACAGCAGTGACACCAGCTTTCGCAAACTTTGGAAGAGACTTACGGCTGCCTGCGGACCTGATCACCGGGATACCACCTGATGCCCCACGCAGTATAACCGATTATGCAAATGACTTGCGGAACAAAATGAATGACATTTATGAGCACGTCAGACAATCGGGCCAGCAAATGTCTGAGAAAATGAAAACCCGGTACGACCGCAAAATGAACAATAAAGGGTTCAACGAAGGTTCATTAGTGTGGTTGCACAATCCAGTCCGCAGCAAACGGAAATCTCCTAAGCTTCAAGCTAAATGGGACGGCCCGTACCGGATTGTAACCAGGATCAACGATGTGACCTACCGGATACAGAAAGGCGCAAGAGGGACTCCTAAGATCGTCCATGTGGATCGCTTGGCGCGTTATTATGGGACCGATAATGCTCGGGACGAGCATGTCTTCGGAGGGAGCAGTGTTGCATGAATAAGTCAACTAGCGCCATCTAGTGTCAGGAACGAGAGCGAGGGGAGCATTGAGAAAATGACATCACAAATCACTCAACCGACAGCGCCTAGTCGAAACTCGAACGCTCGGTACCTTGCGCGTGTTTACTTGAACATTCTGGATATTTCTTTGCTAATTTAAATATATAGGCGCTGCAAGATGCGATCGAGGCAGTGTTGATTTGGCGAAACAAGCGAAGCTTCGGAGCGGAATAAAGTGAATAAGTGTGTTTAATTATTAGTGTTTTTAACTTTAATTTGTGTAAAGTAAATTAAAGTGTTAATTTAGGTAATTTTATCGGCAATTTTTATTGTCACGAACCTCAAGCTCGTAACAATAATAAAATCAATATTTTTTTTCTGACAGATCTGTTGGTCTAGTGGTTAGTGACCCTGACTGCTATGCCGGAGGTCGTGGGTTCGATTCCCACCCAGGACAAATGTTTGTGTGATGAGCACGATCATTTGTTCTGTGTCTGGGTGTAATTTATCTATAATATTTATGTATTTAGAAATATATAAGTATGTTTATCAGTTGTCTAGTACCCATAACACAAGCTCTGCTTAGCTTGGGACTAGATGGCGTTGTGTGATAGTTGTGGAATATTATTATTTTCCTACTTATGATGCATTTTTACTACTTTATTACTTTTACTACTTGCACTCATGAGTGAATCGCGTTTTAGGCATAAATCACGGTATACGGTATAATGTCATATCTGATTAATTATTCTACATCGTTCCTACTACACAAGCTGTCGCAAATAAAATTTGTCTCTCTTACGCTTGCGAAAGTTTAATCATGCCATCCTACTTTGACGTCAAATCGTAATGTAGTGTGCTATTGCAATATTTTGTTATTTATGTGTGCGTTAGTGTGCCGAATATTGTGTAGGCAACCTATCTACCTCTTTTTACTTATAATATCATTGGTTAACAATGACATTGCATATTTGACAGATTTCATAGTGGAGGATATTAATCTGTTAGGAAATTGCAGAGATTAATGTTTCTTTCTGAAACATTAGCTATATTTTTATATTAGATTAAAAATATATAAACCATATTACAGAAATTCTTAAAAGTAGAAGACTCTAAAAACGTTAAAAATGTGTAAAAAAATTGAAGAATACAGCACTGAGGCACTGTTTTCTGTATGTAGCAATAAAATACAAATACACACAATAGAAACCAAAAAAAAAAACTTAAAATAAAATCGCAACTTTTCAATGATGGTGACCATCTTGCGTAACAAATAGGTTCCCCTCGATTGCAACTAGCGTCATCTGGTGAGCGTAAGATAAAGCCCTCATTAGCTTAGTGTCCCACTTTCAAGTAAACCTCAGTTTGATATGTCATTTTTGTTTTTATGTTAAATAAAAATACAATAAAATAAAAATTGTTTATTTCGGACAACTTGAATCCAAAGTTGAATTTCTCTGCGTGATAGACTCAGAAATGAGGATATCCGCAGTAAAACCAGAGTGATCGACATAGCCCAACGGATTAGTAAGCTGAAGTGGCAATAGGCCGGCCATATAATTCGAAGAACCGATAATCGATGGGGAAGAAAGGTTCTCGAGACCCACCACTAGATGGAGTGACGACCTGGTAAAACATGCAGGAAGTCGATGGATGCAGGTGGCTCAGAAACGTGCTTTGTGGCATTACTTGGGGGAAGCCTATGTTCAGCAGTGGACTTGGGATGGGCTGTAATGATAATGATGATGAATCCAAAGAAACTGTTAGTATAGAATTATCGAATTACTGAATTATAAGGTGCTGTATAATTTTGATCCATTCGCCATAATAATTACTAATTTTGAAAAACTTACATCTGTATTAGTAATATAATTTAAACTTATTTTTAATAGGTACTTAATTATTAAGCAGGACAAAGACCTGGAGATCATATGTCTGATCAGTGGACAGCCCCACTGTCGGCAATCTCACTCAGCACACTGTGGCCGCTGCCGCGTTCTCCGTTTAGCAACGACGCGGTCTTTTTTCGGATTATTGCATCGAACCTATCCACACCCGCCAGTGCAAACATCGCAGACGCGCTACAGTAGCCCTGAATGCCTTATTGTATTGAGTACGTAGGGCACTATAGATCTTTTTGGTGTAGTTGGTCCATAGACCGCAAGAATAAAATGCCGCACAATATGCTTTGAAAAGCGTGATGTTAACAGCGTCAGTGCAGCGACCAAATCTATGCACCAACATATTCACCCTGACCGACAGTGCTCTACGTTACGTTCTCTTTCAACGTCTTCATCGTCTTTAAGGCTGTGAGTCACAAGTATAATTTAAATGTCCAAGATATTTAAAACTATACATCCTTTCTAGTCGTTCGTTTTAGAGCTTTCTAGGGGGTTTAACACTAGGATATTTCCTGCCAGTCTTAAATACCATGAACTGCGACTTTTTGGTATTGTGTAGTAAACCATGTGAGACATAATTAAATGTTGAATTGTCGGAAAACGTTATACTTTATAGCTATATATTATAATTATTAAATACCAAGAATTATACCAAATCCACCGAAGTGTCATTGTCAAACCACTCTGATATATATATATATATATATATATATATATATATATATATATATATATATATATATATATATATATATATTGTTTTTATATGACTGTTCGTTTCCAAAATAAAATATAAGTAAACGAAAAAGAAAAACATGTTTTAATAGAAACCATAGAACATTGAACGAATGATAGATAGTTATAATTGCTTACATTCTCTGGGATCTTCGAAACCCTCGGTTGATTCACGACTATTGACTCGGCCAAATGACCCTGAAATAAGAAAAAATTGAAAAATAATGAAAAAAGCCTAAGAAAATCTATCTACTCCAGAGAATCATTTTGTACAGTTCAAGTACATTTTTTCTTACACGAGTCCCTACTTAGTCCGCGTGCGTTGAACTTACTTGAACTAACGAAGGATCAGTGCATTTCTATTAAGGGAAAGAACCACATCTAAATTAAATTTCTGTACCTAGTTTTAATTTTAATAAGTTGTTTATAGTGTTCGGCCGACGCTTCAGATTTCGGCCTTGGCCAGTTTAGGATAAAAAACCAGAAAGATTTTGGCCGATGTCTACAAGCGACGAAATTGAACGAACTGTTACAAAATAGCGAGAGGGCGATGTACGTGACCACTGTTTTGAATCAACTTCCAGAGATGATTAAAATTACCTTTTGATATAATACAGTTAATATAAACCTTTGATTTAAAATAATTTATATTATTAGTTTTACCCAAGCTTGATTTGAAATTTTTAGGGGTTTTTAAGCTTTTAGCTTCGGCTTCGGTCAAAGGTGGCGATAGTCGATCCTATCAATTAGTTTCGACTTTGGTTCGGAAAAGTAAAAGAAAGGACGCTATTTATTACTATGTTCTCCCTCATTACACTTTATAACTAAACTACTTCAGTGTACGAAATCAAAACTAAACCATACATTCTTAATGGTCCTTCGAGCCGGATTACATCCTGCGAATGTTAGCAAGTATAACCTATATAATAGAAAAGAAATCATAAAATTTGGTTACAATTGACGAATATATCGCGTAACATACATACAAAATTAGTAGAATCGAAATCCTCTATTTCTCGACTAAAAATGCTATTTGATGGAAGAATATCGTAAGTGATTGTCGTAAGAGATGACATAGGGAAACAAACCAGGATATGGGTAGCATCATTTTACACCTAAAAAACCTACGGTTTTCCCCCTGTGAGTGATTTAGTTTCGTTGTATCCAGCTAATACTGTATAGACACTTTATACACAAAATCGCATCACTTTTACGTATCAATATTCACCTTAAACCATTATTTAAACGATAAAACATGAGCAACAATCCGCTGACGGTCAAGTACCAGCTAAAACTCGCCTACTAAGCTCATTTAGATATATCTGTATAGCTTATAGGATACTAATGCTTAGCAGCAGAATTTTGATAGTCAGTTACGGTAACGGTAACGGTTACGTTATTTATGCGTACGCTAGTGTTCATGTGATGGTACAGCAGTTGCTTGCGCATGTAGCCGGCGCCGCACACGACGCACTCGTACGGCTTTTTGCTGCTGTGCACGAAGCGGTGCGTGTTTCTGTTGTCGCGCGAGTTGAACGACTTGCCGCACACCTGGAAAGTGATTTAACAATTCAATCATCAGTATATGACCAATGACCATAAAGAATTAAGAAAAACCAAAACTGATAAGCGAATTTAATGTACATGTTGTTATATAAAGTTTAAGTCTGTCTATGATATCGAAATAACTGGCTTCTATTACGCTCAGGGGGTTGTTTTAACCATTTTTAAAGTTTAATTTTTGTCTGTCTGTTCGGCCTAATATTCGGAATTAGCGATGTTCGATATCGATTCGGTTAATCGACAGATCGATTAATCGTTTGTCAAATTTATTCGACTCAATCGATTAATCCAAAATTGAAATAATCGATAACTTTTTCCACTTAATCGATATGTCACGTCGGATTGAAAAGAAACCAGCGGGCTTCGGTGCTCTTAATCCGGCCCCGAAGGTCCTCTTTCTCCACAACCAGCAGTCCACAGCTGGTTCCTTGATCCGGCTCGAAGGACCAATTAAAAAGAACCAGCGAGGGGATTAAGAAACAGAAGGGAGGAATCGAGGCTTCTCTCGATCCGGCCTCCTATAACGCCTACGTTGGGTTCGGGAACAACGTATGTGATCTCCGCTGGCGGAGTAACACACAAGGGCGATAACCTCTTCCTTTTCAGAAAATAGGTTCAGGCGGGGATTACGGGTCTTCCGAAGTCGTCCCGGTCCCAACGCCTTAATTCTTCGATGTGGACTGTATAATTTTGAGGGATGAATTTCTTGGGAATAAAACAGCAATTATCTTCAAACCGTTCCGTGAGAGAGTAATTACTTTTCCCTATCACTTCCCTACACTTTTTCTTTCTTCTTCTTATTGACTGCTGGTCTTGCACTTTTCCCGAACTTTTTTCCCGAAACTTCCCCGAACTTCCAGAACTTCCCCGAACTTCCCCGTCACGTCGCGGCGCGTCTCGCAGCCCTCGATCGCCCTCGCAAGCCGCTCGGTTTTTTCCGAAACCGTCAACCGTTCAACCGTTTCATCTAGATCCATCTCAACGGGCATACGAAGTTCAGATGATACAACGAGTGTGTACATGGTGTAGTCTCGTTTCGAACCTCTCGCGACGAGAGGCTCGCGAGGCGACGAGAAAAACGTGTACAGCCGCCATGAAAGTTGATGTTAAGTCAAGGTTTGGTGATTTATATCTATACTGAATGATTTTTTTAGCGCCTAGAAAAAAAATTGGCTGTAACATATGAATGGAGTAGAGCCTTATCACACTGATATTTTACTATATCTTTTTTTACCTAACATATTATGAAATTGAACTATCAATAAATACTACTAATTTGAAATGTACTTTTCGTACTAAAAATATACATTAAAATTCCGAACTATAACAATATATAGAGGTAAGACTCGCAATAGAAGAAGCTTCATGTGCTCTTGTTAGGTACAGTCTATAAACAGGATTATTTTTCAAAGGGTATTTACATATTATATATTGGATGATCATTTTTACCGTCTGGAAAAAAATAGGATGTAACATGTGAACGGAGTAGAAGCCTATGGCAATGATATTTATATAAATATAACCAAAAATTTTAGATTCAGTGTTTGAATTTTTTATTGAACAGTTACTTTGCCCTTTGCCCTTGAGCCTGTGACCCTGCGAAGTGACAGACTGTGCCTGATGGTAAAGTGTGTATACAAATGTATGTATGTATGTCTATTTATTAGGCACGCTCAGTAGCCAAAAGGACTTTAGTAGTTATTTAAAAAATTGTTGAATGCTGGAATAGAATCCCGGCTGAGAGCTGGAAGAGCTAAGATGAAATACCTTTTCACTTTTGTAGCCAGCTTGCAGGCTTTTGTTGTTTACTAAATTTATTGTTTTATAGCCGTTCGTAAAGTAGGGTAGATATGATTTGAATTTCGATAGATTTTAATTAATTTATTTAATTTAAAACCTTTTTTTATTTTTTGTAAAATATCAGTGTCATAGGCTCCGTTCTTCCGTTGTCGCCATTCACATTCACACATGTTAAACCCTATTTTTTCCAGACGGTAAAAAGGTATTAATAATTTGTAAAATGACCCTGTGACTGCGACGCTTTTGAACAAAGCATCTCTATTTTGATACTTAATCGAGAATAAATATAGATGTGTGACAGCATCCACTTACCATCAGGTGGATTATGTGTGTCACTCTTATAATACAAAAAAATTAATTTTCCACTTTCTCACCTCGCAAAGGTAGGGCTTTTCGCCACTGTGTATGCGCATGTGCTTCTTAAAATGTTCAGGATACACGAAGGTGGCTTGACACACTTCGCACTGTAATGGTCGCTCGCCTGTGTGCGACGCTTTCACGTGGTAGTCGAGCAATCTGTCATAAATAAAATAATACTCAATTACTGAAGTGCGAACGTCTTTAAAAGCATTTTTTAACAGTAAACGAAAGTGAACTGTCACGCTCGGCTCGGTGACGCTGGATCGGGTTTACTCAGCTCCACTTGACATCAAGCGCGTTCGGCTCAACGACACACATAGTATACTCGGCTCCAGTCGTCATCAGACACGTTTACTGTCCGATAAGGAGTGCAGAGTTCCAATAGTTACGTTTTTATTGTTCCGTAAGTTCCCACTGCTATCACGTGCTCATACACATTTTTTCGTTAGCCCGTGAAAGTTCACCGCTAGACTTTCATAGGCCGGACATTTGTCGTTGCAGTATAATGATCCTGCTTGGCAGGTAGATTATCGATATTTGTACTGTACTAATGGTGGTTAAAGATATTAATATCTACGTTGCAAACATCCGCTAAATTAAATACAATGATGTGTCTTACCTAGATGAAGACCACCTCCCGCCCTCCCTGAATTTCGTGCACTAATCCCGTCACCACTAATCCCAGCACCACTATTCCCAACACCACTATTCTAGAAAAGACACACCATCGATGATAATACGACACGTGTTTCGTCTCTACACGAGGTATCTTCAGGTGATGTAGACTCTACGGCGGTTGACCGCTAAATCAATTATTTAACGATGGTTGTCGTCAATGACGACATATGGATTAAAGACATTATCCTTCATATCGCTCAGCGAGGTATGTAGAGGGCTATACTCGGAGTTTATCTCCATGATAATATATAAGATTTAGCAATTAGGATATCCGCAATAGAACCAGAGTAACCGACAAAGCGTAACGCATCAGTAAGCTGAAGTAGCAATTGGTGGGCCATGTAACTTAATGAAGCGACAACCGATAAGAAGAAAGGTTCTCGAGTGGCAACCTCGTACCGGTATGCAAGATGTGGGTAGCGATCTGGTACGATATGCAGAAATTCGATGGATGTGGGCGCCTTAGGAACATGTTCTGAGAACATTCCTTTCATCACATAAGCCTCCTGGCTTATGTGATGAAAGGAATGAAGGATAGTTAATTGTACACAACAGCGACGCTTAAAGCGCGCCGTTGCTAGTGCAGGTTGGAGCGCTGCATGCAGCGAGCTGTGCACTTGCAGCGCTCGCACGCGCGCCTGCAGCGAGCTACCTGCGGCGCTTGAAGCGCTTGGGGCAGAGCTGGCAGCGGTGGCGCCGGTCATCTAGGTGCGTGGCGCGCCGGTGCGAGTGCAGGTTGGAGCGCTGCGTGAAGCGCGCGCCGCACACGTCGCACGCGAACGGACGCTCGCCTGCACGCAAACATTATTTTATGTTATTTAGTATGGTGACTAGAAGTGGATGTAGAAGCATCAGAGGATCCGCTACCCTACGTCATCCCACGGGTATCGTAAGAGGAAATGGGGATAAGCAACAGCACGTTACTGATAAAAACTTAAAATTATGAAGATCTACGGTATCCAACCCACCTGCTGCCCAGTATAGTGCTGTATATGTAGCAGCAATTATGATAAATATTAGAGAAGACCTACATGTCAAAAAATTACCCTTACATATGGAAAACATTATTCTCCCTCTGGGCAGTCAGATAAAAAGAATAATGGTCCCAATATTGTTCCTTGGGGCACACATATTGTTCGCGCCACTTTGCACTATCGCCTAACGCTTATAAGAGATTTTTTTTCTTTTTTAAAAAACGCTAAGATTTTCTCTTGTATCGTGGGGCAGTCTACAAACATAAATTGCACAAGGACAAACATCCAGACCCGAAACAACTATTTGTAGGTCATACAAATACGTGTTCCGTGCGGGATTCGAACCCGCGACCCCCAGCGCAGCCACTCATTTATAAGCCACTGCGCCACGGAGTCGCCAAGATTCGCCAAGATTCGTTAATTATTATCCAATAAGATTACTGCAAAGCCCATTTCCGGGTTTTCTATCTACCGCCTTTTTATGCCCAGCATGTGCATTCGTGTTAACGGACTCACACAAGTTGAGAAGACACGCAACCAACCGCATCACTTATATCTCGCGTCATCGCTTCAGCCCTTGTGGAATTTGGATATTGAATTATACAAGCATATAGTAAAAAGTATAGACATTTGCAATAACGCTATATTTCGTGATTATCTGTGAAGATTATCCGTGAAGTTCATAAGTGTGAAGAAAGCCGGCAGCCATCGAGACACGAGGCAGATCAGCAGAAGTCCAGGTGGGTGCACATGCATTCCTTCACGCCCTCCCTACATCCCGAATTTAGGGCATTTGCAGTATCACGAATAAATTAAATTCCATTCACCACTCGCACCGCGCTAATATACAGTCCACTACTCTATTTAATTGAATAGCCGCACCGCATAAAATTATTTAATACATTTGAACCAGCAGTTTGGTTTTTAAAAACCAAAACGCCAAACCACCCATAATTGAGTGTGCACCAAAAACTCAGTTCCATTTATAAACACATTTTGCAACCAGTGGTAAAGCCACGCTGCAACTATATTAGTAGTATAGTTGTAGCACGAATGGGTCGGCTCGACCGGGGAAGGACCACGCTCTCACGGAATACCAGCGTAAAATAGTAGCTTAATGCTGCTGTGTTTCGTATGGTGAGTGTAGAGAACCGGAGACCCTTTTTACTGAAAACGAGGCATTCCACCTTAGTCCTCACGGGTGACAACGCATCTGCATTTTGATTCGTAATCGAGGATAGATGTAGATGTCTATGGGCCACAACAACCACTTACCATCAGGTGGACTGTGTGCTCGCTTGTCATCCTATCCTATAAAAAAAGAATTTAACACTAGGAGGCCTATGTTCTATAGACACATCTAATAGCTCACCGGTGTGAATCCGCATGTGGTCTCTAACTTCAGCTCGTCTCGCGAATGCCTTCCCACAAACACCACATACAAATGGCCGATTGCCTGAATGCACCACGCCGTGAACTTCGAGGTTGTGTTGGGTACCGAAGGCTTTATCTGCAAAATAAAGAAACAGAAAACGGATCTGAGAACTTACAGGAATTTTAGGAAAATAAAACAGTAAAGTATCAGCGTACACGTACCACTGGTAGGTACGGGATTCCTCTCATTTCCGAGAGAGTTTTACAAGGCAATTTTTATTTATAGAATAAGGGTGACAAACGAACAGAGTCCATCCGATGGTAAGTGGACGCAGTGGCCCATACACATCTACATCTATTCTCGGTTAAGAATCAAAATGCAGATGCGTTCTCCCACCTGAGGACTAAGATGGAATGCCTCGTTTCCAGTAAAAATTGCCTCCGATTCTCTGTACTCACCATACGAAATAGAGCGGCGTTAACCTGCTATTTCACACTGGTATTCCGTGAGAGCGTGGTCCTTCCCCGGGCGTGGCGACCCATTCGTGCTGCCACCATATAGCTGTAGCATGGCTCTAACACGTAAAATGACAAATTTCCGCCGCGCTGACCTAAAAGCGTGTTAACGACTTTACGTTATCGTATTTTTTTTTCATTGCTCAGATATGCAGGTCTTCCTACATCCCAGAGCTCGTGGCAAATAATAATTTCATGAGTATCGTCAGGGATCTAACCCGGGTCGCAGTGAAATTTTAAAACAAATGCTTTTGCCCTGAGCTACCACGTTACCAAGCTTTTTACTTGTATGTATTACTTTAACGTTCCAGCCTATCAAAAGCCCACAACTGAACATAGGCTTTCCACATAGATCGTCTGACAGGGTGGATGTTTGCCACAGTTGCCACGCTTGGCAAGTGGGTTGGCAACCGTAGTTTTCTTCCTTTTCAGTTATTATTAAAAAGACGCTGCTGCCAATTGCCAGGATTGTTCCCTCTTTATTTGGTTGTTACTCACGGGTCGATATGGGATACTTGGTATTCTTACACCATCACTTCAATGTCAATGTATTACGTTAATAAGGACAAATGATATCTTGCTGGTCGATTATCGACCACGTCAAACCTAACATCTTAGTCCTCAGTGGTGAGAACGTATCTATAGTTGGTTCTTAATCTATAACATATGAAGATGTCCGGGTAGGCCAAAGTGGACATTTACTACTATGGGTGCTGCTGTCACAGCACACAAATGCGTCGCCCGTGTCTACGTATATGTAATTCTTTTTAATAATAAATGTAATAATTTTATACCTTTATACTCTTTTATACTTGTTCTTAAGTATTGTCTCCATATGTAGCGGATTCAATGTATTGTTGTGTAGTACTAAACAGGGCATTGCTCTAATTGTTTCCTATAATGTCCGGTGGAAGGCGCTAGCGTCTGTAATACAGTTTTCAATATAAAACTAGTACAGCCGCTAACGATCAACCATATCCTACTAGTATGTTACTAGTATATTGATGCCTGTAATCGTACTTAATATAGAAAATTATGTTACATGTTTTTCTGAGAATAAAGATTTTTATTATTATATTTATTAATTCTCATGTTATGATAACGACCGCCGCCGGCGGAACGACAGTCTGTAGTCGGTTAGCGAGTAGTTCAGTATTGAGTTCCTTGTTGAGTGTATCACGTGAACACGCGTCTCTGGTGTAGAAAATAAATCAACTACAACATATGTGAACAATGGATCTGACCACCCAATTTTGATAGTAGTTAGTACTGAACTTAGGCTAGTACTTATTGCGCGTTCGCTCTGTCGAATTGTGACGTCACGTCACAGTAAACGAGCGGGCAGAAAATTAAAAAAAATTGCGAAACTTCAAAAAGTTATAACTTTCGTATTTCTGCACCAATTTGAATACAACAAAAACTATTATTATTTTCATAAACATAGCTTTAAAGCTAAATATTATTGTCAAATTATCACATGTTGGTGTGACCCATTACGTTTTCATTTTTCTCCCTACACATGTCCCTAAGATACACTAGTCACAACATAGTTCGCAACACTACCATCCAGTAAGAATGCCTGTTTGGCACTTTTACCCTTTTAAAAAGAACTCATTGAGTAAGCAATTTAGAACACTTACTGCACACATTACAGACGAAGTCCTTAACACCTGAATGGATTTTTTCGTGCTGGTTCAGATTTTGCTGTGTAAGGAAGGATTTCCCACACTGATCGCATTTGAACGGACGTGGTCGATCCTGCAAAAGGGAATAACAAAGCTCAATAGATTGAGAAACAATTGCGCGGGAAATATATAATATATAAGGTATAAGTCAGGCATAAAATAAATAAGGATCTAGCAGAACAAGTAAATAATAAATTATACCTACTTCACACATTATTATATTACATTGAATATATTCAGAGTGAAGAAGAGTGTGGCGAAGAATTGACTACCATGTGACTAGGTTTGGGTAAAAAATATCGAAAATATAAACATAGAAATATATCGCCAATATTTTTAAATCTCGATATATCGATATTCAATATTTATTTTGGAAGAATTCATATCAATAACGATATATTTTAAAATGTTATTTTAATCGACAAAATAATACTACTTTGGGCCTTGTCCTACCACATCATGCAAAACATGACGATACATCGATATTTATCACGAGATAAATATCGATACATTTTTAAAATATCGACACGATATATATCGATATTTTTTTTCACTTGCCTATCCCTACGAGTGACTAGGCCTGGTTAGGATTGAAGTATAAGATGGTATTATAATTCATTGAAAACCCGACCACATTCAAAATCTTTTTTTTATTATTATTTTACAAAATAATATATTACTTTATATTACATTATTATATTAAACTATATTTTGTATATTATACTATTATAAAATTGTACATTGAATATGTTTGTTGGGGCATCACGCAATAACTACAGATACTATTTTTATGTTGTTTCTATTAAATTAATGGTCTTACTCAAACTTAAAATTTGTAATATGTAGGTATCATTTCAGAATATGAAACAGTTTCTAATTGATGGATAGTGGATGCTGTGGTCCATTGACATCTACATCTATCCTCAATTAAGAATTAAAAGGCAGATGCGTTGTCACCCATAAGGACTAAGATGGAAAGCCTACATAATATACGGTTGCGGGACATAGTCTATCACGGAAAAGCATCGAAAGATACTTGTATGTTGTCAACGGATCTTGAAGAAAAGTAATTAAGGGTTAGGAACACTCAAATAAGAAAAAAAGCTAAAGTTACCGACATACTTGCTCGTATTGACCATACCATAGACCATAGAGCTGAACAGGACACATGCTACATTGCAAAATAAATAAATGGGCTTGCTCCATTGTGAATGGCACCCAAGGGACCGTCCCTAGAAGACGTCCAAAAAGAAGTTCGGATGACAAAATTAGTCTAACGATCTAATAAAGTCAATGTAGACTGTTGAAGAAGGCCTATGGCAAAAGGCACGTCGATTTGAGAGCGATTGAATAAAAATTAATGAAGTGAATTTTTTTGCCTCGCGTCTGGGACAGCTTCCATCTGCTGTGCAATTTGTGCTGGCGGACGGGAGATGTCCCGGATGATTGGCGATCCGCGGTCATTGTGCCTTTATATAAAGGTAAAGGTTCACATTTTGACTGCGGGTGCTATCGGGCGATCAGCTTGACCAGTTTAGCAAGTAAAGTTTACTCGAAGTTTTTGACACGTAGGATGCAAGAGAAATCGGAAAGATTCTTATGGGAGGCACAATGCGGATTTAGACCTGGAAGAGGATGCACGGATCAAATGTTTTCTCTCCGCATGATCACGGAGAAGCTTCGTGTTAACCAGAAGATTTTCTGTGCTTTTGTGGATCTGGAGAAAGCATTTGATAAGGTTATAAGGAAGAAAATGTGGGAACTGTTGCCGGGATATGGTGTGGATGGTCGATTGTTAAGGGCTGTGCAGTCACTTTACTATGACTGTAAAGCCTGTGTGCGGGTAGGGCATGACCTGTCACCCATGTTTAGCGTCCAAGCGGGCGTAAAACAGGGTTGTGTCATGTCTTCCTGGCTGTTCATACTGTATCTCGACAGCTGTTTACAGAAGCTGAAAAATAGCTGTTTGGGTGTGAAATTGGGTGACATAAAAGTTAATTGTCTGCTGTATGCTGATGATGCAGTGCTTATTGCACCATCAGAAGCAGAACTGCAGGCATTAGTCACGTGTATGAAAGAGGAATGTGAAATTAAAGGTCTCCGTTTGAATGCTAATAAAACTAAGGTTCTGTTATTTGAAAAGGACGAAGAGAGAACGAAATGTGAAATATGGGTAAATCAGGAATGTCTAGAACAGGTAAATGAAATTGTATACTTGGGGAGTGCTTTCAGCCGGGATGGAAGATGTGATTTAGATATGGATAGGCGTGTCGCTGCCGGAAACAAAGTCAATGGTGCCCTGAATGCATTAGTAAAAAGGCAAGGCGTGGTGAAGAGTGCACGTCTTGTAATACATAACGCAGTGTTGGTACCGACTTTGTTATATGGCAACGAAACCTGGGTATGCCAGAAGAAGCATAAAAGCAAGTTGAATGCAGTGGAGATGCGATCTCTTCGTAAAATGTGTGGCGTTACCTTAGCCGACCGAAAGCGAAGCGAAGAGATTCGCAATATGGCAGGATTGAAAGATGACCTTATCACAAAAATTGATAGGAACGTACTCCAATGGTTTGGGCACGTTGAACGAATGAGTGAAGACCGAATGGTGAAGAAAATATATAGAGCGAAAGTAAATATTAAAAGGTGTCGAGGTAGACCGAGACTAACTTTCGAAGACCATGTGAGCAAATTGCTCGAAGAGGGGAGGGTCAAGAGTACTCGGATACCTAGACGTGCATGTATGAAGAAGTTAATGAACCTGAAAGAAGCGAAAGAGGTATGTAAGGATCGTGACACTTGGCGATCTGTTCTCTCTGGCTACCCCGTTAGGGATTGTGCGTGAAGATAAGAATTTTTTTTGAATCGTGATTCGATGAAACATGAAAGTGACACTAAAAAGAGACAAACATATATATCTATAGGATTTAGTCTGTGATTGAATGAGATAAAATACAGTGTACAGTGTATTGTATTATGAATGGAGATTATAGATGTGATATATGGGCAGTAAGAAAGCGAAACACATGTCGTATTATAGACAGTGATGGGTTAGTGTGGTGCTGAGATTAGTGGTGACAAGATCAGTGGTGGAGGACGGGAGGTGATCTTTTAAATAGTTTTTTTTTTAAATTAAAAATGGGCTCACTCTTGACCTTCATCTGGCCCGGTAGCAAAGATGAGGTCTACAATGGAGCGAGTTTGCCCAGGAAAAAACAAACTTATTATTTTATTTCTTACGCGGATTTAAGCAAATTAAATTTTAAGATCTTTAATATAATTGATTTAAGCAAAGTAACGCCTGATTTTTAATATTATTAAGTACTAACAATGGCCTTGTCCTAGCAAATCGTGCAAAATATATCGATATATATGCGATATATTATCACGCGATATATATATCGATACTTTTAACAAATATCGATACGATATATATCGATTTTTTTACTTGCCCATCCCTACGTGTGACTAGGCCTGAGGTATAAGTTGGTATTATAATACATTGAATACCCGGCCACTTTCAAAATACATATTATTAAGTACTAACAATAATGCAATTAAAAACTTTTTTATATTGCACTCACGGCTGTCACCTAGACGGGTAGGCAGAGACTACAGACTTCCATTTGGCACGATCCTGACACATCTCTCTCGCCTCCTCCACATCCATATACCTACGCATACACGCTCGTCGGTTAAGGGTACTCTTAATTTGGCCCCTTTTCAATAGATCGCCAATTTGGTCGACAAACATCATCTTGCATACTCGTCACAACATTATCTTGCACACCACCTAATCAATCCTAGGCTACACTTGGTCCCGGGTGGTGCTAAATGAGCGACCAGCCGAAAGTACAGGCTCGGTTCCTCGCCGTGTGGTAGCGGCGGAAAATATACTCCCCCCCCCTAGTTTCGCACCATGAGGCAAAAAAGCAAGAAATCAAAAACTTGTAGTCAGTATAACGTGTTATGTAATATATGTAGAATAAACAGTAAAATAATTTTTGAACTTAGTAACAATCCTAAGTCCTACAATTCCCTCAACTCTTGATACTCTGTGTTCGTCTGATTCTCACGAAGCTAACATTTCAGTAGGTTTCACTTATACTGTGTTTTATCTCAGCCTCTGTTGCCATCATCTGCCAGCATCTGTTGCCTCAGCCAGTATCGGAATCCTCGGCGTCGACATATCGAGTGACCTGCATTTTCGTGGTCACGTGGAAGAGAAGGCCAAATTGGCCTCAAAAAAGCTTGGCGTGCTCAGCAGAGCGGGACAGTATTTCATGCCGGCACACCGTCTGCAACTTTAAAGGCGCAGGTTCAGCCGCACATGGAATACTGTTCCCATCTCTGGGCTGGAGCTCCCCAGTACCAGCTCCTTCCACTTGACTGCATCCAGCTCAGAGCGGCTCGAATCGTCGACGACCGAGTACTTTCCGATCGGCTCGATTCACTGGCGTTGCGAAGAGATGTTGCATCTCTTAGCGTATTTTAGCGCATCTGTCACGGGTAGTACTTTGAGGAATTGTTCGGATTAATCCCAGTCGCCAAATTTCGTGATCGCACTACGCGGCAAACGTCCCGATACCATCAACACCATCTGGATGCTTGGCGGTCCACCACTGTACGTTTCAGAAGGAGTTTTCTTTCGCGTACGACCTCTCTGTGGAATAGTTTGCCACTTCTAAAGGGCCGGCAACGCACTTGTAATTCCCCTTGTGTTGCGGTTGATCATGGGCGGCGGTAGTCACTGAACATCAGGTGAGCCGCATGCTCGTTTGCCCCCTCTTCTATAAAAAAATAATATGTGCACACATGTTATTATTATTATCATTTAAGCTAGGACATGGCGTTTGTGTTGGTGTACATTTGTATTTGGCTTACATCAAATCAATGATTTACACACTTTGTGTAAATCATTGATTTGTGAAGGGGGCTATTGAAGCGGTTGTTTCGTACTCACCAGGTGCGTCTTTAGGTGCGACTGGTAGGTGTACTTGGAGGCGAAGCTCTTGCCGCAGGCGGGGCAGGCGTGCGGCCGGCTGCCGCTGTGCGCGTTCATGTGCTCGCCCAGCAGCTGCCGCGAGCTGACACACACACCATCACAATTGTAAATACTTTATTCATTGTAAGAATATCCACCAGCACATATCATCCCGTGGTTGTCGTAAGAACCAATAGAAGGGAACAAATCAGGAGGAGCAGCAGCATCTTTCTAATGACGACTAAAAATAAAAAAAACTGCCGTTGCCAATGTGCTTGCCAAGCGTGGCAACTATAGAAAACATCCCTCTTATGAGACAATTTATGGGACAGGCCTATGTTCAGCAGTGAAATTTTATAGACTGTAACGGTAACTTAAATTTTAATACATTAACTAGACTCTCTTTTTAAGTTTATCAATCAATATACTTATGTTAAGGGACCCCCATAACATTGAAATCATGACCCCCATAACAATTTTAAGATGCATAAAACATCGCATATATAAAGATTAAATGTGCTTGTGTGTGTGTGTGTGTGGGGGTGTGTGTGGGTGTTTGTGTGTGTGTGTGTGTGTGTGGGTGTGTGTGTGTGTGTGTGTGTGTGTGTGTGTGTGTGTGTGTGTGTGTGTGTGTGTGTGTGTTGTAGTATCTGCAGTAAGTAACAACACTACGCTAAACTATTACCTACCTATCACAAGTCCACCAATGAACATAGACTTTCATCATATTTAAAAAAATACTAGTAACTGTATTGACATTACTAAAATACACTCGTTGACCACTCTAAGTCTAATAATACTCGTGTTAAGAAAGGTTCACAACAATATTGAACACCGACCTTAAAAACCAACACCAACACTTAAAAATAAAGTATATATTACTTAAAAATAATAAATATTTGACAGATTTAACGACGGATGAAGTTAATTTGTTACGAAAATAAAAGGGTTAGCGTTTCTTTCCAAAATATTAGTTAGGTATTTTATATCAACTAGATTGGAAATGACAAATATTCCTAAAAGTAGAGAAATTAAAAAAAAAGAATGAAAAAATGTGCAAAAAATTAAAAAACTAACCACTGAGGTATTGTTTTGTTTTTAACACACTCTAGAAACCGATAAAAGTATTTAAAACGCAATTTCACAATTAAAATGACATCTCGTGGGCTTAAAATTATTAGCCCCCATTAGGCTACTGTAGCTTTAATTATTAACCGACTTCAAAAAGTAGGAGGTTATTAATTCGAGTGATGTTTTTTTTGTATGTGTATTACGCGATATTTAATCAAGGTGAGTTTATTTAAGGGTGACAAACGAGCACACAGTCCATTTGATGGTAAGTGGATGCTGTGGCCAATAGACATATACATTTATCCTCGATTATGAATCGAAATGCAGATGCGTTGTCTCCCCTGGTTAAGATGGAATCGTTTCCAATAAAAAAGGGTCTCTAGACATCTACACTCACCATACGAAACACAGCAGTATTACGCTGCTATTATACGCTAGTATTCTGTGAGAGCGTGGTTCTGCCCTGGTCGAGCTGGCCCATTCTTGTTACAACAATAATATAGCTGCAGCATGGCTCCACCACGTCCAAATTTCAGCATATCTTAGGTTATAGGTCTCTAAACCTAAGAATCTGTATGGATATCAATCTTTTATCTATTTCTGCTGACAAACAGAAGTGCATGCACTGCTGTGTTTTGATCTGGAGGGTGTATAGAGCAAGCACAATGACAGGCTGAGAGAGGTGACAACGCATCTGTGTTCTTCTTTGTTTGAAGTTGGCTGCAGGTGTCCATGAACTGCAGCAGACACTTACCATCAGGCGGACTGTAATTTCGTTTGTTACTTTTTCATTCATCGTTCCTTTGGAGATCCCATGTTCAGCAGAGGGCGTGTGATGCTGTAAGGAAGATGACGACGACTTACCTGTATTTCTTTTTACATATTGTACACTCGTGGGCTTTGCTTTTATCGCTTTGCAGTTTGTTCGAGTGCTTCTCTGAAACAAGAAAGAACAAATGACTGAAGGAACCATAAGTAAGTTTGTTATTTGTCTTTTAAAAGACGCATTTAAAAAAGCAGCGGTTCTTTATAAAACTGAAGTGATAAAAGAATTTACACTCTACTCAATGGTTTTTTTATAGGATAGGATGACAAGCGAGCACACAGTCCACCTGATGGTAAGTGGTTGCTGTGGCCCATAGACATCAAAATGCAGATGCGTTGTCATCCGTGAGGACTTAGGTGGAATGCCTCGTTTCCAGTAAAAAGTGTCTCCGGTTCTCTACACTCACCATACGAAACACAGTAGCGTTAAGCTACTATTTGACGCTGGTATTTTGTGAGAGCGTGGTCCTTCCCCGATCGAGCCGACCCATTCGTGCTACAACTATACTACTAATATATTTGCAGCATGGCTCTACCTCGTAAAACATTAGGAAGAATAATATATAATAATAAGAAGGAATAAGGTAATTGCATCGTTGGACTAAGTGGGGGGCATTCTTAGAGACCTTGGTATTCTTGATTTGGTTGAAACCAACCTTGTCAGCCTCGAGCACAGACGCAGAGTAGCCAGCCTTTCGGTATTCTCTGGATGCATTTCGGTGAGTGTGCGCAGGAATTACACGCTATACCATTGGCCAATCAAATGGTCGGCGGATCTTGTGATCACCCCTTTGTCGCCGATATTCCACGCATTAGAACCAATGGTGCTTCGTCATTCGTAATAAGTACAGCAAAGGAGTGGAATAATTTGCTAGCGTTTATTTTCCCGTCTGAATACTATCTGGTCGTCTTTAAAGCATGACTGGATAGGCCTTTGTTACGCTAAGATTGTTTAGGCATTTATCGTGACTTTAGAAATAAAAAGAGTGGATTGTAATAACACTGGGTTTAATGGCGTAACTTCTAACAAGTTATATTAATAAATTGAGGAATGAAATGCCCGTACGCTAGCCACGCAGCTGAGTGTCATGGAGACGCGCTGCCCGAGGTGCGCTGACAAAGACAGTGCGATTTACCGTCTAGAGCCACACTAACACTTACCACCAGGTGGGATGGTGGTCAAGCACTATCTTATAATAAGGTCAAAAAAATGGCCCTTGCAATCCACGAATACAAGCAGCTAACTTCAAACAAAGTAAACTACAGATGTGTTGTCATATCTGAGGACAAATTGTACATGTAATTATATTGTCTCCCTACAGCCTCCAGACCGGCATACAGTAATGCAAGCGCTGCTATTTAGCAGTTAAAATAGGTAAGAGTACCTCCCTAGACTATCCAAAAAAGTTGTTCCATCACCTTGATAACTCAAACACTGCACGATCAATGTAAACACAGAGGTATAAAAAACATCGAGAAAATGTTTATTCGTTACTGTTTTCCTAAACCGTAGACTGTCCATAACTACTAAGTTCAATAAATATTAATGTACCATTCAAGCTAGTGTGTGTCAGCCGATACGTTCCCTTTTCAGTTGAAGGCAGTAAAACTAATTTGGGTCACCACGCCACCATAAACATACCCTATTTATAACGGCAATATAACCAGCTTTGCAAGACACGTGACGTCAATATTTTAGCTGATAGGCCTCAAAATTTTAAGCGAAAATTTTTGCAGTCCTTTGCTGTTAGCTAACATTTTAGATAACATTTGGGTCTAGTTTAAAAATATATACATGTGTAGTTTAAAAATATATACATGTGTAGTTTAAAAATATATACATGTGTAGTTTAAAAATATGTACATGTGTAGTTTAAAAATATATACATGTGTAGTTTAAAAATATATACATGTGTAGTTTTAAATATGTACATGTGTAGTTTAAAAATATATACATGTGTAGTTTAAAAATATGTACATGTGTAGTTTAAAAATATGTACATGTGTAGTTTAAAAATATATACATGTGTAGTTTAAAAATATATACATGTGTAGTTTAAAAATATATACATGTGTAGTTTAAAAATATATATATATATATATATATATATATGTGTAGTTTAAAAATATATACATGTGCAGTTTAAAAATATATACACGTGTAGTTTAAAAATATGTACATGTGTAGTTTAAAAATATGTACATGTGTAGTTTAAAAATATATACATGTGTAGTTTAAAAATATGTACATGTGTAGTTTAAAAATATGTACATGTGTAGTTTAAAAATATATACATGTGTAGTTTAAAAATATGTACATGTGTAGTTTAAAGATATATACATGTGTAGTTTAAAAATATATACATGTGTAGTTTAAAAATATATACATGTGTAGTTTAAAAATATATACATGTGTAGTTTAAAAATATATACATGTGTAGTGTAAAAATATGTACATGTATTAATAATAACCGAAATTGCTAGAATAATTTTAAGAATTATATTTGACGACACTTAGATATAAAATTTCCTGTTATTTCTAGTATTTACATTGTGTTCGTGTATGTCTTGTAGGATGTGCTAATAAAATAAAATAAAATAAAAAATGTACTACTGATCTTTTTACAAGAAACACAGCTTTAATACGACATTAATTCAAATATGACTATGACTCCGGTCATATGCTGAGAGGCTTAAAGAGTTTAACATGACACCACTTCACCTTCAATTGGACCTAGTTAACCTACACAAAATAATACACTCGGAACTGGACAGCCCCGAGGTCTTGGAACTGTTAAATTTTAACATAAAACACAACCCACGTAGACCTATGAAAAAAAAATTTGACAGACCCTTATCGCGAAATAATATCCCCCGGAATCAACCCCTATTAGAAATGTTTTGAAAGACATTCTCAAGGACATCCCCTTCGTTTGATATTCATTATAGTTATAGTTCTTGATTTGTTAGATGTGAGCCTGTTAATTTAAGCAATTTTATTTAAAATGTTTGTTTTTCAATCTTGGCCATCTGTGATAACACGTATAAGGATTATATCTTGTATCACACTATTATTATTGTAAGTTATAGCTTTAAGTCATGATGTAATCTGTTGTGTTGTCCAATAAAAAAGAATGTGACACCAAGTCCAGTGCAAAATATCGAAACTTGCTCATATAATATTGTTCATATAATTAAAATAGAATATGAATAAAATACAGTATATGCTTTTAGATTAGGGATTTTTCTCATATTAACATTTAACATTAAGATTAGTACAAAATTTAAACTTCTTAATAGAAAGACCTTTTATTCTTTATGAAACATTGTTATAAAGTAAAATAGTAAAGATGTACATACGTCCCACTGCTGGACACAAGCCTCCTCTCATTTCTGAGTGGGTTTTAGGACAAGGAAATATTCAAAGCGCTTTCCCTCACAGCTGAGCACGTAGTAAATCAGCACTTAAAATTGCAATTAACAATTTCATTGGTGCCGGCGGGGATCGTACCCCGTTCGCTGGCGTACTGTGAAATTTACAAAGAGCGCTAACCATCTGAGCTACCACGGTTTTACTTTGTTGTAAAAGCGTGTATATTATTGCCCTAGGAATGAATTACGCTGTGGAGAAGAACTAGTATCACTAGCTTATGTTTGTGTTCCTGGTATGTAAAAATTGTAAAGTAAAAAACTTAGTTGAGTTACGTTAAACTTGTTTTACTGGTACTGTTAAATATTGCACTTATTTCTACAGCTGTTCTGTTCCTAAACCGAAATGGTCTGGTAAATTCAAATCCTGATTAGTTCATTCTGCATAGATCGGACCAAAGACAATAATTAAAAAAGCTGAAGGTACTCCGTGTTAACTTTGACATCGGGACCTCAGTCACCTCAGTCCCCCGTGACCATGGGTGCTGGAAAGCACCCGAAACGTCGGGTATTAAAATAAAACGCGATAAAATCCGTAAAAGTAGTTTTAATCAATGTGTAGTGTTCGCGTAAATATAAGAAATCATTATCAAATCCTGGTTTTTAAAATTTGATACTGGCAACCCTTTTTTTAAGTGTTCAATTATACATATGAAAAGCTCAGTAGATTGTAGCCTAAAATAAAATTAAGGTTTAAGAAGTATTAAAAAAATTGACTGAAATAAGAAGAAGAATTTCCGAGGATAGATGTAGTAGACTATGGGCCACAGCATCCACTTACCATCAGGTGAACTGTGTGCTCGTTTGTCACCCTTATGGTATATTTAAAAAAAAAGAGACAGAAGAATAAACAGAATTAAGAAGAATTGCAAATACCTAAATGACTAAGGTAATCAGCCTTCTTCCTCATCACGACGCCGCAAATGGCACAGATGTGCAACCTCGCGTCGTGCACGGAGCGGAGATGCTGCATAGTGGTGGTCGCGTCGCCGGTGAAAGTCTCTCCTTCTAGAAATCAATACAAGGTACGTGTTACTCCTTCTAGAAAAAAATACAAGGTACGTGTCACTCCGTTAGAAATAAATACAAGGTACGTGTCACTCCTTCTAGAAATCAATACAAGGTACGTGTCACTCCTTCTAGAAATCAATACAAGGTACGTGTTACTCCTTCTAGAAATCAATAGGGGTACGTGTTACTCCTTCTAGAAATCAATACAAGGTACGTGTTACTCCTTCTAGAAATCAATAGAAGATACGTGTCACTCCTTCTAGAAATAAATACAAGGTACGTGTCACTCCTTTAGAAAAAAATACAAGGTACGTGTCACTCCTTCTAGAAATCAATACAAAGTACGTGTCACTCCTTCTAGAAATCAATACAAGTTACGTGTCACTCCTTCTAGAAATCAATACAAGGTACGTGTCACTCCTTCTAGAAATCAATACAAGGTACGTGTTGCTCCTTCTAGAAATCAATACAAGGTACGTGTCACTACTTCTAGAAATAAATACAAGGTACGTGTTACTCCTTCTAGAAATCAATAGAAGGTACGTGTTACTCCTTCTAGAAATCAATACAAGGTACGTGTCACTCCTAGAAATCAATAGAAGGTACGTTTTACTCCTTCTAGAAATCAATACAAGGTACGTGTTACTCCTTCTAGAAATCAATACAAGGTATGTGTTACTCCTTCTAGAAATAAATACAAGGTACGTGTTACTCCTAGAAATCAATAGAAGGTACGTGTCACTTCTTCTAGAAATAAATACAAGGTAAGTGTTACTCCTTCTAGAAATCAATACAAGGTACGTGTTACTCCTTCTAGAAATCAATAGGGGTACGTGTTACTCCTTCTAGAAATCAATACAAGGTACGTGTTACTCCTTCTAGAAATCAATACAAGGTACGTGTTACTCCTTCTAGAAATCAATACAAGGTACGTGTTACTCCTTCTAGAAATCAATACAAGGTAAGTGTTACTCCTTCTAGAAATAAATACAAGGTACGTGTTAGTCCTTCTAGAAATAAATACAAGGTATGTGTTACTCCTTCTAGAAATCAATACAAGGTACGTGTTACTCCTTCTAGAAATCAATACAAGGTAGTGTTACTCCTTCTAGAAATCAATACAAGGTACGTGTCACTCCTTCTAGAAATCAATAAAAGGTACGTGTGACTCCTTCTAGAAATCAATAGGAGGTACGTGTTACTCCTTCTAGAAATCAATACAAGGTACGTGTTACTCCTTCTACAAATCAATACAAGGTACGTGTTACTCCTTCTACAAATCAATACAAGGTACGTGTTACTCCTTCTAGAAATCAATACAAGGTACGTGTTACTCCTTCTAGAAATCAATACAAGGTACGTGTTATTATTTAGCTGCTAAAGACATGATTGTAGTAATGGAGAAAATAATTTATTTATATAAATATAATTTTTTTTTCAAATTCTTTACGTGGTAGAGCCACGCTTCAGCTATACTGTAGTTGTGGCACGAATGGGTCGGCTCGACCCGGGCAGGACCACGCTCGCTCAAGCGAAGCATTTCATTTAGTCCTCAGGAATGACTACATTTCTCAATCATATAATCTTAACCGTTTATAATATCTCCCGGATACTTTTTTTTTATATAGAATAAGGGTGACAAACTAGCACACAGTCCACCTGATGGTAAGTGGATGCCGTGGCCCATAGACATCTACATCTATCCTCGATTACGAATCAAAATGCAGATGCGTTGTCACCCGTAAGAACTAAGATGTAAAGCCTCGTTTGCGGTAAAAAGGAGACTCCGGTTCTCTACACTCACCATACGAAGCACAGTAGCATTAAGTTGCTTTATCACGCTGGTATTTTGTTGAGAGTGGTTCCTATATTGGTCGAGGCGATCCATTGTGCTATAACTATATTACTAATGTTAGTCGAAAGTAGCTTAAATGACATAGTAAAAACCCGGACTTCAGAAGCTATTACTTGGAAATTATTGTATTCTTTTTATACCTGCAGCATGGCTCTACCATGTCAAAATCTACTTCTGTTTTTAAATATATAACTTATATCTATAACTTTTATACAAATAATAACTTTTACCTATGTAAATAACATCAGTAAAATTTACCTTTGTTTTGGTTTTTCTCGCATAGCAAACATTTGAACTGTCCCTTGTCTTGAGCTACCACCTGTAATTAAAATCATTAGTTTTTTTTTATTTTACTTGATAATAAGCAAAAACATCGTACATCATCATCATCATCATCATTACAGCCCTTCACAAGTCCACTGCTGAACATAGGCCTCCCCCAAGGAATGCCACAAAGCACGGTCCTGAGCCACCTGCATCCATCGACTTCCTGCACGTCTTACCAGTTCGGCACTCCATCTAGTGGGGTGTCGCCCTACATCGTACATGCTACAGAGCCCTCGAAAACGTTAATATTTTAACTAGATGACTTTGAGAGATATAAGTAAGAGTACGTCTAAATTTCTGTCAAAATAATTTCAATTTCGAACGATAGACGGCAACGTCAACTGCAGTATGAATATAATAACAAAATAACGATTGCACTAAAAAGTAATTTTTTGTATAGTCCGTACGGATAAAGAATGGGATTAGAAATAGCGTTCCTCGAGTCTGTACCGTCAACATGCACAATACAAATAGCAAAAACCCGATAATAACGGTATATAGTTATAACGTTATATTAATCGTTTAATTGGAAATTTTCTATTAATGGGAATATATTTAAAAAGAATTGTAAACACATGTAAGCAGATTCATTTTTATAATTGGCGACCCGTTTTGGTTTCGCCTAGGTGGAATTTATTAATGTGGCGTTATTTAGACTTAAGGTAATATGAAATTCAGTCATTCCCGGTATTTCTTCGTGAAGTTTTATTACAGTCAGTTCAGCCATTTCTAAGTTTAGCTCGGACAGACAAACGAAAATTTAAAAAATGGTTACTCATGTCGCAATAGCATATAAATATTTTATACAAAAATATTAACAAACAAAACCAACAATAATTACGAAGAAAACTCTCAGAACGCGTCGTAGCTCACAAATTATTTAATTAAATGATATTTTTTGTAGTTTACGGTTTTTTGGTATAATTGATTACAATAATAAGTTAGACTGAAGTTATAGAACGTACGAAAAACGCATATCACAACGTATGTTTTTGTGAGTATAGATAGCAACAGTGTCCGAGCGAGAGGTGAATAGAGGCGACGCCATTTTCTATCCCATTCTTTAAGATAGTAAACACTGACTAATATGTATTTATTTATTTTTATACGCTTTATTATCACCCGAAATAAAAGGGCTATAAAGGGCGGACTTAATTCCTTTTGGTATTATCTCGGGCGTATAGAAATATAATATAATGCGCAAAAATTATAACGATGCATACTATTGCATAAAGAAGGGTTGACCGTGCATTAAAATGACGCTACTGAAATGTTCCCAACTAAACTATGAAATAGTCGCGCCGTCAGCTTGTTATTTTATACTGGAGTGATTATGGCCTTTTTTACAGTAAAGTTTTTTACAGGGAAGTAAATAGGGTGTAACAAGTGAACGGAGTAAAAGCCCATGGCACTGATATTTTATAAAAAAAATAAAAAATTTGAATTAAATAAATAAATTGATTAAAATCTATCAAATTCAAATCATATCTACCCTACTTTACGAACGGCAATAAAACAATAAATTTTGTAGGCATCTTTGACTTTGTCACGACGCAGGGTCACAGGCTCAAGGGCAAAGGTAAATGTTTAAAAAAATTCAAACGTTTAACTCAAAATTTTTGTTATAATTTTTTGTAAAATATCAGTGCCATAGGTTCCGTTCACATGTTACAACCTATTTTTTCTCGACGGTAAAAAAGGGTCGTCCAGTATAATCGGTAAATCCAAAATATTTCATTAAATAAACTTGCTTACATTAAAAAAAATGTTTCCGGGTTGTCTCAACGTTCGGCAAGGATAGTAGTTCAAATTAGTTCCAAAAGATGGCGCTATTTTTTCTTATATGGAAAAAGCACCAGGCAAATGTTCGGACGACTGTCTACTTACCGCAAATGAACCTAGTTTCTAGAGTGGCTGCTTTGATTAATATCCTGCTAATGACAGATTGTCTATCTGTAGGATGGTCTATGTTCCGCAGTGGACTCGACTTTCATATGGTGTAGTAAATGATTAAATGAATGCAACACTCACCATATGTAAGTCATCATTGGACACGTCATCTTGTTCTTCCTCAGTCTTGCTCTCAACAGACTTGACTTGGAACATCTCCCCCGATTCCACCTTAATGAACGCTCCACCTGATTGCAAAAAAAATCTTAAACCTTGATGGCTTGTATGGAATGTGAAGCATGTGAAGCCGAGTTATAGAACCGCCCAGTTTCTGAAACACTCGCCGAAGTACTGCAGTTGTTAAAGTGACTGGCACATGTTGCCAGGTTGCACTGCAGGTTTTGATTATGCGGACGCCTTTCATCTTGCCATTTCTTACTAACTCTTTCTTATGAATGTTTGCCAGAATTGCAGCACTTGGCAAGTGAGATGGCAACTGCAGTGTTTTATTGCGTTGTTATTGTTGCGCGCCTAAGTTGACGTCAGGTACCTGGCACTAGCGCCATCTAGTGTCGGGGACAAGAGCAAGGAGGGCTTTTTAGAAAATGTCAATCTTGACTTTCGACCAACAGCGCCATCTAGTATCGAACAGAAGAATTAAGCTTTCTAGAAGCCCCACACTCGAACTTTCTGCGTCTGGCCGGTCGGCGCCCGTATTTACTAGAATATTCTGGATGTTTCGGTGTAAAAGTATTTAAAGCCGCTGCAAGACGCGATCAAGGCAGTATTGAATTTGGCGAGACAAGCGAAGCTTCGGAGCGAAATAAAGTGAACCAGTGTGATTAATTATTACTGTCTTTTAAGTTTTAATTAGTGTAAAGTGAATTAAAGTGTTAATTTTGGTAATTCAATCGGCAGTTTTTATTGTCACGAACCCTATGCTCGTAACACTATCAATAAGATGGTGCTGCGCAACTCCTGTTTTAGTTCTCTATGTCGTCTCTTAAGGTACAATTCCGTAGCCGACTGCAGACAGCAGCAGCAAGCGACGTGTCGTCGCGACACAACTGGTTCTATGTAATGATTTCTTATATTTACGCGAACACTATACATTGATTAAAACTACTTTTACGGATTTTATCGCGTTTTATTTATATTAATTTTAATACCCGACGTTTCGGGTGCTTTCCAGCACCTCAGTCCCCCGTGACCATGGGTGCTGGAAAGCACCCGAAACGTCGGGTATTAAAATTAATATAAATAAAACGCGATAAAATCCGTAAAAGTAGTTTTAATCAATGGTTCTATGTAGTTCTATGAAATACGTTCCGTAGCTAGCGACACGTCGTTTGCCTAGCGGCAGACGACACTGTAGCCCGACCAGTGTTGCCGTTTTAGCGACTTTCTCGCTAGATCTAGCGGATTTTAACAATGTTTAGCGGATAAAAAATCGTTTTAGCGAGAAATAATTATTTAGCGACTTCTAGTGACATTTGGACTTTTGTGATGGCGACTTTTTTTATAAAGTAAATCATTTAAGTAATTCATTCAAATAAATCATTTATCATATGTCCAATTTTGTAATCTACCGTTGGTAACACTGTATATATAATATAATTTCACGAGAATTCCCGAACATAAGCTACCAATTCAATGTCGTTCATTCACTTTCATCTGTTTCGAAGATTTATGTAATTTTGCAATAGTAAGATTATCACTACCGCACTCAAATGCAGAATTTGATAGCGTATTTGGTGCTATTAATGTAGTTAAAAGAAAACCGCGAAACAAGCTATCAGAAAAAACTTTACTATTCTTCTGATTAGAAATCAGTTAGGGATTAAAAAAAGAATTGCGCAACAAATGATATTCAACTTCCGCTGAAGTTGTTTTTGAAGATCTGGATTCATAATTTGCTATTAATTTTGAAATTTAGGTACAAGAACCTACTGAGCTAATTGTTTTATTTTTAATAAGATGACTAATGTTTAATTAAACGTGGTTTAAAGATTTAAGATTTATTTTTTTTACAATATTTTTATTTTTTATTTTTACATGAATAATTTTTGTTTTGGTTGTCATATCATTAACCTATACTATAAATAACTGATTTAAATGAAATAGAGTCCGCTCGAATCGAATTCGATGTCGAATTTATAGATTTAGATTTTCGGTCTTCATTGACCATTTGGCAAGATTTTTCAGTTAGCCCAATGGTACCACAAAAATATACCTAAGGATATCTAGCGGATTTTAAGTAAAATAAAAATCCTGTTTCTGGCGGATTTTTTCTGTTAGTCTAGGGACTTTAAAATTTGTAGAACGGCAACTCTGAGCCCGAGCTGAAAGGTTTCGGGTTTCTGGATTAGAGCACGAGGGGGACGGAGCGTTGACTTCATTAGACGAGACCTCTCCAACTTAACATTTAGGTTCAGTGTGCCTCTAACCATTCGGTGATCGCTGCCAGTTTTCACCTTTGCGATCACTGAGACATCACTGAACAGTTGGCGTCTGGTCGTCATAATGAAGTCAATCTCATTTTTTGTCGAACCGTCGGGGCTCGACCAGGTCCACTTCCTGTGGGGCCGCTTCTGAAAGAAAGAGTTCATCATAAAGAGTCCCTCTTTCTCCATAAAGTCGGCCAGCTGCTGGCCTCTTCGGTTCCGTTGCCCTACTCCAAATTTCCCCACCTTCAGCTCACCGCTTTCTCTTGTGCCTAGTTTTGCGTTGAAGTCTCCCATCAACACCGTGTAGTGGGTTTTGGAGGAATGCATGGCTCTGGAAATATCCTCATACATTTCCTCCACCTCCTCATCGGGATGTGCCGAGGTTGGTGCGTAAACCTGTATGACCTTCAGCGAATACCGTTTGGTGATTCTGAGTATCAGGTACGCGACCCTCCTCGACACACTCCCAATCTTTACAACGTTGTTGACGAGAGACTTGTGGACGATAAATCCGACACCTCCTTGGGACAGATGGTCGCCCTACCGGTGGTAGAACAAGTTGCCGGACTCGAGGATTGCCGTATCCTCCCCCTCTCTTCGGACCTCGGATAATCCAATAATATGCCAGCGCAACTTGTCTACCTCTTCTTCCAACTCCAGTATCTTCTCGTCAGTCCTCAGAGTGGGTGCGTTATATGTTGCCAGGTCGAGTCGTCGTAGGTGGCAACCGAACCTCCACCGGATATTCTTAGCACCCCCTGCCCCGCCGTTACCATGGTCGCCACCGTAGCCAGGAATAGCACCGTAGCCGCCGGGGACTGGGGGCCGTTTTTTTGCGTCGTTATTCATGGGGGGATATTTGCCATAGTTGCCACGCTTGGCGAGCGGGTTGGCAACCGCAGTTTTTTATTATAACACAGTTGTTATCAGGAAGATGCTGCTGCCCATCTCCTGCCTGTCTCCCTCTGTCGCCTCTTACGACACCCACGGGAAGATATGGGGTAGTGGATATTCTCAACCGCCACTACACGGCAACTTTCAGCTCGAGTTACAAAACCGCTTTCAGTGCCTAGATGATTGCAATGCAGTGGACGATATGTGACAAGCTCGTGGAAACTGTCCATGCGGTCGGAGCTAAGTTCTGTAAGACCCGCCGCAAAAGAACACAAAAACTCTCCGATCACACTCTTAATCTCATGGCTGTTAGACGGGAGATGAGGCTGTAATCGTCAACAGATTTGACAGCATACAGGCAACTGAACAGACAGATCTCCAAATGCATGCGGCGAGACTTACGCAACTTTAATACTGCTCGTATTAAAGAAGCGATCGAACGGAACCAGGGCTCCAAAGTCTTTGCCAGAGATCTGTCTGCCAGAAAGAGCCAACTGTCAAGGCTGAAGACTGAGTGCGGCAACATCGTTTCCGGGACACCTGAGATTCTGAGTGAGATTGAGAGGTTCTATGGGCAGCTGTACCACATCATCGTTGGAGCCACACGCAAGTGTGAGTAACGATCCAAGAGCAAGTCTTATCCGACACTATTCCGATGATATCCCGGACGTCAGTCTGAGCGAGATTAGAATGGCTCTCCACCACCTTAAAAACGGCAAGGCTCCGGGCGAGGATGGAATTACAGCGGCATTTGATTTTCAGCATTTGACTGTCGGTATATTGAAGTGCTGAAGTGTTTGTACAGTATGGCTACGATGGCTACCCGAGTACAGAACCAGAGTACGAAACCTATCCAACTGCAGAGAGGTGTAAGACAGGGTGATGTTATATCCCTGAAACTCTTCACCGCTGCGTTGGAAGACGTTTTGAAGCTACTGGACTGGAAAGGATACGGTATTAACATCAATGGCGAGTACATTACTCACCTTCGATTTGCCGACGATATAGTCCTTATGGCAGAATCGCTGGAGGACCTTAGCACTATGCTCAATGACCTCAATGGTGTCTCCCAACGGATAGGTCTTAAGATGAACATGGACAAAACAAATATCATGTTTAATGTCCATGTCACCTATGCCGGTAGTTGTTGGGAGCACTATGCTCGAAGTTGTTGACGAGTACGTTTACCTGGGACAAATAGTCCGACTAGGTAAGTCCAACTTCGACCGAGAGGTCAATCGACGGATTCAACTCGGCTGGGCAGCGTTTGGGAAATTACGACACATCATCTTGTCAGGTATACCTCAATCTCTGAAAACTAAAGTGTATAACCAGTGCGTGTTGCCAGTGATGACTTACGGATCTGAGACGTGGTCCTTCACCGCTGGCCGTATGAGGACGCTCAAGGTCGATCAGCGAGCTATGGAGAGGGCTATGCTCGGAGTTTCACTGCGTGATAGACTCAGAAATGAGGATATCCGCAGTAAAACCAGAGTGACCGACATAGCCCAACGGATTAGTAAGCTGAAGTGGCAATGGGCCGGCCATATAGCTCGAAGAACCGATAACTGATGGGGAAGAAAGGTTCTCGAGTGGCAGCCTCGTTCCGGTAGGCGTAGTGTAGGGCGACCCCCCACTAGATGGAGTGACGACCTGGTAAGACATGCAGGAAGTCGATGGATGCAGGTGGCTCAGGACCGTGCTTTGTGGCATTACTTGGGGGAGGCCTATGTTCAGCAGTGGACTTGTGAAGGGCTGTAATGATGATGATGATGATGAACCCTGAGCCCGACCGCAGATCAGTAGTGCCGCCAACGCCCGAGCGACAACACCGAAGAGAAACTGATAAACCAGGTGGCCCAATATCCCGCACTGTACATTCCCTCACTTCCTCTGCATTTCATCATAGGACGTGTATCTTTTCTCTTTATATTTGTATATAAAAGCAAGTCATCATCATTTTTTCCTCTTCTAAAAAAGATACAAAAATAAATCGCGATCGCTAATTTCAAACACGTCGGATATCATGTCCCACTGAACACTCGGAGCAGACTGGACACGGGCTACTGCCGTCTGCAGTCGGGTTCGGAATCATGACTGCAGCGACATGACGCCACGACATGTCGCGGCGACACGTCGCCTACTGCTGCTGCCTGCAGTCGGCTACGGAATTGCATCCAGTAAAAGGGTCTCCGGTTCTCTACACACACCATAAGAAACACAGCAGTATTAAGCTGCTATTTTACGCTGGTATTCTGTGAGAGCGTGGTCCTGCCCTGGTCGAGCTGACCCGTTCGTGTTACAACTATAATATAGCAGCAGCGTGGCTCTACCACGTCAAAAATATAATTTTGACTTGTTGTCAGGAAGATGCTCCTTCTCATATCCTGCTCCATTTTTCCTCTGACGTCTCTTACGACACGTTCGGGACGTTGTATGGTAGTAGATATCCTTATACTCGCGCTATAATAATATCTACTATTCTATAACGCCAAGTTTAATTACGTTTAGTCTGGAACAAATGTTGTTTTCTTTTTGGATAAAAGGACTTTAGAGCAAATTTGTATTTTAGAAAGAAAAAATAATAAAACACTTTATTTTGACACAGACCGTTGACAAACACTACATTAGTAACTTAATAGTTACATTTAAATTTCATGGCCTTTATTCCACCCTTAGGGGTGGTTATGTTTCTTTAAATTTCACACCACCACCCATGTAGTTAAAATTAAAAAAGTTAAAGTTACAGGATATATACGTCCCACTTCTGGGCACAGGCCTCCGCTCATTTCTGAGAGGGTTTCAGGGCAAAGAATTGTCCGCCGTGCTGCCCCAATGCGTGTTGGCGAACTTTACATGTATTCGAAATATTTATTTTTCTTATTTCTCAGACAGGCAGGTTTCCTCACAATCTTCTTCACCGCAGAGCACGTGGTAAATTGTAGTTATCGCCTATTTATTAAAAAATTCATTAAAATCGGCTATCAGTTAGAAATAAACCTAAAAAAGGACAAAACATAGTCGAAATAAGAACTTCCTCATTTTTAAGTCGAATAAAAAGCACGTCTAAAGTATAGTATAATTGCCGACATAAGTCGTGAGCACACTTTTTATTGGTCGATACGACGTTGACCACGCTGACGTTCAACGTGATTGGTTCATCAGTCGATTCTCGTCGGCTATTGGTTTCGAACGTATCATTCGGCTTCCGTACACTTCAGAGCAATAATTTTAGTGATAACTTTTTTAATTAGTTTATTTTCATTAATTTTTTTTGTTACATCGTTGTTAATTGTTGTTTGTGTATTCCTTGTTATTAATTGTTTTTGTTATTTCTTGCTTTTAATTATTTTTGTTGTTATAATTTGAGTCTTCAGATTTTGGTCTAAATATGCAGAGAAGGAAGAATTCGGTGTTAAATAGACAATCCCGACAAATGGTCTATTCAGTGTTTAGTTACATGAAAAAATTATGTACTGCGAAAAACATCATAGACGTATATAAACGACTGCTGAGGCGACTAATGTCTCAGTAGCTACTGTACGGCGCGCCGCAACACCAGATTTTATGGAAGGCATATCACCTCTTCCTTCTTCTTAATAAAATAATCAATTCTAACCACCAGTTATACATTAAATACTTTATAGTAGATAACAAAATAACGGATACGAATATCTGCAACATTACTGTATCAAAGTAAAAGTTGAGGTGTTCGAGTAAACATTTTCATAAAAGTCGGCGAAAATATTCAATTACGAATTGAAATAATAAAGGTATCCAATAATTTTGCCCGACAGTGTACATACCTCCCACCACAGTTTATCTGTGTCACGACTCGTGTTGGCAACTATAACTGCTTACCCTGTTCCTGCGCAGCCGCAATGATGGCGTTAGCGGTCTCCTCATCGCCAGCCACTTGCAGCTCTATTTGCTCATCGTTTGAATCTGAAACAAATTATTTATTAGTATAAATAACAGATAGATTTGAAGTATATGTAATAACCTTCTGCAGACCGAATTTCAGTCTAGGAAGCCAGTCCCTCATTCTTATAATCCGACGGGACGGTAAACCGACACGACCGAAAAGAAATCAGGCGCAGGATCAAGGGCTTTACGTGCTCTCCGAGGCATGGGAGTGACACAGCCAACTACCTGGCTGCTAGTGATAAAATATAATCTAGATCCCTCTTGGTATTTGTTCCCTATCTGTTCGTAAAGTTTCATTACAATGACGGCAAATAATGATGATGGGCAGATGTCGCTAGTCGACATTGAGGTGAAGTTTTTTGTTACACAATGTCATTTAATTGATAATTTACTTTTTAATAAAAGTTTATCGGTTTCTAGAGTATTTATGATATTAATACACAAAACGCCTCCGTGTTTTTTTTTTTAATTGTTTGCACATTTTTATCATTTTTTTTGATTTTTCTATTTTAATGAATATCTGTGGTTTGGTTTATTTATTTTTAATCTAATTAGTACAAAATATAACTAATGGTACGGAAAGAAACATTAGCTTTTACAATTTTCGAACAAATTAACTACGCGACTATGAAAACTGTCAAATATTACACCTCATTTTAGGCGGTGCCGCCCTGGTGGCACAAGACGTCGTGGATGTCCTCATTAGTCCAGCGATTTCAAAGATTATCTAGGACAGATAGAATGACAGACAAAAAAATCAACATGCAAATTGCAAATCACCCCGAACCTCATTAGGAGTCAGTTGCTTCGATATTACAGACAGACACTTAAATTTTATAATTATATATATATATATATATATATATATATATATATATATATATATATATATATATATTGTAAACTAAATAACTAAATGATGTGTTCAAAATGGACCAATGAAACAAATTGACTATATTCGTATTCGGAATTTTTTTTTTATATATAATAAGGGTGACCAACGAGCACTGTGTGCTCGTTGGTCACCCTTATTCTATATTAAGAAAAAAACTCACCTTGATTATCCCCATTATCGTTGCCGTCCAAGCTACTCCCTTCCGGCACCATAATTGATATTTCGTTATCGCCATACAAAAACTTCTGTCCGGACACCACGTGTATAATCGAACCGTTCTCCCCGTCCATCACAATCGTATCTGCGAACCATTAACGAATAAAGTCAGCATTATTGTTACCCTTCTCGATACATACTACTACTATAAAAGTACCTATATTACTGCTATTCGTGTATACAATCAGTTACCACCAGCTATTAAACAATTAAATGGAAATATGTTTAAAACAAAATTTAAGAAATTGTTAATTGAAAATGTTTTTTACAATCTCAATGAGTTTTTTAATAAAATTAATGTTAATAAGTAGTAAAATTAAAATTTATTTTTTTAATTGTTGCATATCCGAAATGGATAAACTGTTGAGCCTAAAACTATATGTTTTTGTACTAAGATCATATTTGTACACAGTAATAAATGTATTTATTACTGTGTACAAATATGATCTTTTTTTTTTTTTTTTTGATTACTGTGTACAAAAATGTATCTTTTACAGCCTATTGAAGTCCATTGCTGAACATAGGCCTCCCACATAGATAGCTCATACTTGCCATAGTTGCTACGTTTGCCAAGCGGGTTGGCAACTGCAGTTTTTTTTTAGTTACTATTACAGCAGAGTCGGGAAGGGACGTCCTAGACGAAATTTTATCGACCAAATTGGCGATATGTTGAAAATGAGCCAGAATGTTCTGCACAAAGTTCAAAAACTTTTTTTAAACTAAGTTTGTAGAAAAAGGGTTATTATAATATTAAGGAATTTATGGATGATAATAACCCCTGAGTGTGGTGATCGCTATCTAGCTATTTCTAATTTGTTTTGTGTTGATAATTGTAACATACATGATTGTAAGCTGTTTTTTTTTTAAATCCCGCTGTGTTTCTTGCTGGTTCTTCCCAGAACAAAGTTTTTTTTCCGAACCAGTGGTAAATTATATGTATTATTTATAATCTACATTGAATGTTATACGTGGTAGAGCCATGCTGCAGTTATATTAGAAGTATAGTTGTAGCACGAATGGGTCGCCTCGACCGGGGAAGGACCACGCTCTCACAGAATACCAGCGTAAAATAGCGCTGCTGTGTTTCTTATGGATGAGTGTAGAGAACCGGAGACCCTTTTTACTGGAAACGAGGCATTCCACCTTAGTTCCCACGTGTGACAACGCATCTGCATTTTGATTTGTAATCGAGGATAGATGTAGATGTCTATGTGCCGCAGCAACCACTTACCATCAGGTGGACTGTGTGTTCGTTGGTCACCCTATCCCTATACCCGACGAGCATGTATGCGTAGATATATGGATGTAAAGGAGGCGAGAGAGGTGTGTCAGGATCGTGCCAAACGGAAGTCCGTAGTCTCTGCTTACCCCTCTGGGTGACAGTCGTGAGTGTTTATGTAGTTACCATTAGGAAGTCGCTTCTGCCCATCTCCTGATTTGTTTCCCTCGGTCGTTTCTTAAGACACTCACGAGATAATTTGTGGCAGAGGATATTCTTACACCATCACTACACGGTAAAGTTATAAGCCTGTATACGTCACACTGCTGGTCACAGGCCTACTCTTATTTCTCTGATTGTGGTTTTAGGGCAAGGAAGAGTCCCACGCGCTGTCCCTATGCGTGTTAGCGAACTTCACATGTCATCGAATTTACATGCGAATTTATTTTTTCCTATTTTATAGACATGCAGGTTTCCTCACGATGTTTTCTTTAACCACCGAGCACTTGGTAAATCAAGAGTTGCAATTAACAATTTCATTGGTGCCGGCGGGGTTCGAACCCGGGTTGCTAGCGTACTGTGAAATTTACAGCGAGCACTAACCATCTGAGCTACCACGGCTAACCATTTTACATTACCAAAGAGATGAAGAAATTAAAAAAAAGAAATCTCACGTTCTTCCTCGTCGTCTTCCTCATTTCTCTCGTCCAAAATTTCAAACTTGCCCAGTACGTATTTATCTGGAGACTCGCTTCCAGGATCGTCGTTAGTCGAACTGTCCAGGCTAGAAAGTAAGTTGACGTCGAAATAGTTATTTAATTTCGACTTGTCGTCTTCGTTCTGAAAAAAAAACATCATAGTGATTTATTTTCTTTTCAACTGACTTCAAAAATGGAGAAGATTCTAAATTCGACTGCATTTTTTATTTCTTGCTATGAAAATCAATGATTTTCATAAAATTGTGAAGTTTTCGGTTTCACCTCGGTTTCCGAAAATGAGTTTTCATCAGGATCTTCACGTTTTGAGGTCCTAGGTGGCTATTATGTATGAAAACTCCTTATAACTTTGCAACGGCTTGACAGATCGAAACGCGATTCACGAATTTAAAAGAGTTCTATTGCCATTAGGTTTCATGTGAATTTAAATCAATTCGGCTCGATAGATTTTGAGAAATAACAAAAATTATATTTTCAAAAAAAATTTTTTTTTTAAATAACTCGTAAACTAATGTATCGATACGATTCCAAAATCTAATCTGCTCTTAACCTCAAAAAACAAATATCAATTGCCGCAAACCGCATTAAAAACGGTTAATTCGTTTAAGAGAAATCTTTGTCGAATTTCTGTTGAAAATTTTGTGGACTTTGGAGCGCTTTGCATTTGAAATTAGCAGGAAGTTGCAGGGATGGCCTATAGTCAACCGTATTTTTTATGTGTGTTACTTCACAACTTTTTTCTACGTGAACTGATTTCGATGATTCTTTTTTTTTCTCTTCTCTCTTTCTCTTTTTGCTTTTCATGCGATCCTATATAAATTTGATCTAGATTTGACCAGTACTTTTTGAGTTATCCTTAATAATGCGTATTTTCTTGACTTCGACTACATCGAAGATGTTCTGATTTTATTCATATTAAAGTCGATTGTATATTTTTTTTTATTTTACCACTTGGGTTTTTTTAAACACGTTACCTTCACGCTAGGATTTTATCTTATATCGTGGCTTCTTTTTTATAGTTTACATACATAAATTTCACAACGATAAACAAGCGGATCCGGAGTAATTACTTGTATTTCATACAAATTCTTGTTTTGTGCGGGATTTGAACCCGCGGTTCTCATCTCATCGTTAAGCCACTACTGCGCCACGGAGCCATAAAACGTCACGATTCACTCATTATTAAGTTTTAATAGTGCACCGGTTGGAAAGAAAGGTTCTCGAGTGACAGCCTCGTACCGGTACGCAAAGTGTGTTACCCAAACTGATGATAACTAAGTGGTTGGATACAGTTTGTTGTTGCAGGTACATATCTATCATCTTCATCCAAAATTTAATTATACCACTAGTTAAAGGATCAAAGAATTCGTTATGACGAGTGAGGACTGTGACGCGTAGAGGGGAGCGCCGCCATATTGAAGTCGTTTCGTTACCTACACAGAGTACTTTGGTGACGTACACGTTTTACGGCCGTGTCTACTAGCTCCTCTACACGATGGGCCAACGCTGGCCCAGCGAGATGGCCATGCGATGGTTGAAACGCATCTAAACGATGGCGACATTCAGTTGTAATCGAAACGTTTTTCGAGATGGACGTGGAAGAATTAGCCGCTGCGGCAATATATTTATACAATATATCATTTTTTATTGTCTTTTTTTAATGTGCACAAGAATAGAGTTGCCATAAAAAAAATCACGTAGAAAATGGTGGATGTTATCTTCCATCCATCGCAATAGAACTAAATATGTCCTGAGTCAATTCAGTTTTCTTTAAACAAAAATAATTAAATAAGTATAATTAATTATTAATAATGTAATAAATAATTATTAATTATTAAAAATAAATACATAAATAAAAATAAAATATGTAGGTATTATGTTCTGATTTTAGTAGCTCTATGATTAAAATTTTATAACTTCATTAAGTGGCCACATATTAGTCATTTTTAATTCGATAATTAATAAACAAAGCACGAACATCCGCACTCAATCGTCGAGCGCGCACAACCGTGGAACGGGCCACGTGTAGATGCGTACCGCCATCGCTGGCCCACTGCCTTTGACGTGCGGCGGAAAAACCGACACCGTCGCCATCTCCAAGACCATCGCACGCGCATAAGCCATCCGACACAACTACGCCCTCCACACACTGGCCCATCATAGTGGGGCGACAAAATGAATGGTGAATTCTTACGGTGCCACCGCTTGGTGATTTCCATAATTACCTTCATCGATCTCCATCGGCTGGTCATCGTTGGTATCCAAATCATTTTTAATTTTAGTACCATCACCATCCCCCCTTCTTGATTATTTCTTCTATATCGTTTGATACGCAATCACCGATCCTAGTCAAGACGTGCGGCGGAAAAACCGACACCGTCGCCATCTCCAAGACCATCGCACGCGCATAAGCCATCCGACACAACTACGCCCTCCACACACTGGCCCATCATAGTGGGCCATCGCGTTGGCCCAACGTGTAGAGGGGCTATACGACACAACCACATATGAATTATTATAGGAAGTGCTTCTTTATATTTACAAACTATTCCTTTAACAGGTGTCAGAGTCAAAAGGGGGGAAACTAAAACAGGAGCAGCAACATCTTCTTGATAACAACTCAAAATTATTTAAAAAAAATGCGGTTGTCAAAAATAATAATATATTGAATAAATTCTATAGATGAAGCGAAAACTTGGTAAGAGATGAAGGAAGTTGATAGATGCAAGTTTTTTTTTAATATAATTAGGGCGACAAACGAACACACAGTCGACCTGATGGTAGGTGGATGTATATCCATGTATATACATCCACATTTAACCTTAAAGAATCAAAATGCAGATGCGTTGTCACCTCTGAGGAGTAAGATGGAATGCCTCGATTCCAGTAAAATGGGTTTCCGGTTCTCTGCTATATACTAAACACAGCAGCATCAAGCTGTTATTTTACGCTGGTATCCTGTGATAACATGGTCTTTCCCCGGTCGAACTGACCCTTTCGTGCTACAACCATAATATAGCTGCAGTGTGGCTCAACCAGAGATGACTCAGGACCGAGCTTTGTAACATTCTTATGTTCAGCAGTGGATTTGTGAAGGGCTCTAATGATGATGATATTATGTAAAGACTAAAGTCGAAGGTATTGCATTACATAACTTAAAAAACTATTTAAAAACGCTAATAAATTATTATATTTTTATATGACTAAAACTACTTTTACGGATTTTATCGCGTTTATTTTTACTTTTTTATTTACTTTTATTTTTAATTCCCGACGTTTCGGGCGCTTTCCAGCACCCATGGTCACGGGGGACTGAGATGACTGACGTCCCGATGTCATTGTTAAACCCGGAGTACCTTCAGCGTTTTTAATTATTGTTTACGGTCCGATCTATGCAAAATGAACTGACTATGTCCTGAGGTCTTGCAGTGGTATGCTTGGGTTAAGTTTTAATTTTATTGATTATAGGATCCCAAGCAGGTGGTAGTACCCAGCCTCCTTCTCTATTGAAATTAGAATGTTTTTTAATTTCAATAGCCTCACGTATCATCCTTGGTAGGAATCGGTGTTCTTTCGCGAGGATTTGTGGTCTATCAAATCTGATGTAATGGTTGGGTCCGTCTAGGATATGATCACAAACTGCAGACTTGAGACAGATACGTGAGGCTATTGAAATTAAAAAACATCCTAATTTCAATAGAGAAGGAGGCTGGGTATTACCACCTGCTTGGGATCCTATAATCAATAAAATTAAAACTTAACCCAAGCATACCACTGCAAGACCTCAGGACATAGTCAGTTCATTTTGCATAGATCGGACCGTAAACAATAATTAAAAAAGCTGAAGGTACTCCGGGTTTAACAATGACATCGGGACGTCAGTCATCTCAGTCCCCCGTGACCATGGGTGCTGGAAAGCGCCCGAAACGTCGGGAATTAAAAATAAAAGTAAATAAAAAAGTAAAAATAAACGCGATAAAATCCGTAAAAGTAGTTTTAATCATGTATAGTGTTCGCGTAAATATAAGAAATCATTATATATTTTTATAATTATTATATTATATTATGCATACCTGTTCGGAAGCACTAGCGAAAACCAACTTATTGCAGTCCTCTGTCGCTGTTATAACTGCTAAAGAGCAATCTGAAAAAAATATTTTTCACTATCACATTCCATGGTGATGATGGTGACGATTATTATGATGATGTCTTTCAGCTTGATTAATTTCAATTAAGGTGACAATAAGGTTAATCTTAATCGAATACTATCGAAAGTTATCGACAACACAGGAGATATTATATCGGATCGGTATAGAAGGTGCTAGAACTGCTAAAACAACGCTTTTACAAATTATGCTTTTTTTTAAATCAATGTGACAAAAAAGAAAAAATATTTCGAAGACATGTGAAGTAAATTAAAAAAATAAAAAAACGTTCGTCAACACTCATTGGGGCAGCGTGAACATTTCCTTGACCAGAACCCTCTCAGAAATGAGAGGAGGCCTGTGCCCAGCAGTGGGACGTAATTACGCTGTAACTTTAACTTTTTAACAATGTAACAAATAAGCACATTGTCCACCTGATGGTAAGTAGATGCTGTGATCCATAGACAGACTCTTGGGTGTCGTAATGATATAGCATGTCTAATATACCAGGGGTAAAATGCCCAGACCAATGACAGGTGAGCGTCGTAAAATACGTCATGCATTGGGAACTTCGCTGATAGCACGAGCCTTGTGGAACACCAGCGTTAATGGACTTGTAAACAGAGCATGCACCGTCTACTACGACCTTGATGTTCCGATCGGCAAGAAAACTGGTGATCCAATTGCATAACTTCTCGGAAAGCCTATAGGAAGGAAGCTTCGAAAGAAGCGCTTAGTGCCAAACCTGATCGAAAGCCTCCGCTATGTCCAAATTAACAGCCAACGCCTCCTTTTTGGACTCTACTGTCTCCGCCCATCTATGAGTTAGGTAACCCAGAAGATCACCAGCTGAGCGACCCCGACGGAAACCGTACTGGCGGTCACTAATCAGCTGGTGGTCCTCAATGGAGCTCTTAAGATGACAGTTTATAATGGATTCCATTTATTTTTACATTACTTTGGAGAACAAGGTGATAGCGATAGACCTGAAGTTGAACGGATCCAAGCGGTCGCCTTTTTTAGTGATCGGGTGTACCAATGCTGTCATAATGTTGGGACCGTAGAACCGGTGCATACGTCTTCAGCATAGTAGCCGGCACTCTATCAGGCCAACTCGACTTGTTGATGTCCAGGGAGAGAAAATCTTTGCGAACTGAGCGCCGTGTAAAACGCACATCCGGTATGGAGCACTCACACTGCGGGATGGTCGGCGGTGTGCACCCCCCGTCATCGAGAGTCGAGTTGGACGCAAAGAGAGAGCCCAGCAGCTCGGCTGTCTCCTTTGCGGTATGGGCCAATGAATCGTCCTCCCTGTGCAGAGATGTCAGTGATGGCTGACAGAAGTTCCCTTGGACAGCCTTGGCGAGAGACCAAAAAATACGTGTTCCCGAAGCAAGTCGAACTAGTTTCTCGACAATTCTGCCGATGTGCTCTGACTTTACCTTGGCAACGACACTTTTATAGGACCTGAAGGCGGAATTATACTTCTTATTAGGAACACTGGCGTTTGCATTCCGAGACGTTGATGCGTCAACCCCGGCTCAGTGGCACTCCTGCTTATGGCATGATACTATTTTACAGGAGTGACCAAAAAATTTCTGAATTCTGCCTTCGATAGGCGCCACAGATGATGGAATAAATAGTTCCATTCCCTGAAGTACCACATTAGCGACAGAATCAGCAACAACGTTGGGATCATCAGGCTAGAAGCAAATCCGGGGCGGGTTTGCTTCTCGTCAGATCTCGCCAGCAATAAAAGACCGCATCCCGTTCCAAACGGCCAACCTATAGTGCCAAAAACGGCGGCAACTTGCAAAACGCAACAGCGAAGGAAACATGAATGGCACAGCACTCCACGGAGAGCTGATATCCGTCCGGATGAGAGGTCAGCAGAAGGTCCAACAGGGATGGTACATGGTCCATCTAGGATCCGCGTAGGCGAAGTAACCAGTTGTGTCAGACCATTCTGATTCTTAATCGATGTGGATGTCTATAGGCCGCAGCATTCACACTTATCATCAGGTGGACCGTGTGCCCGTTTCTCACGCTTATTCTATTTAAAAAATCCACGAGACAAAATGAATGGTGAATTCTTACGGTGCCACCGCTTGGTGATTTCCATAATTACCTTCATCGATCTCCATCGGCTGGTCATCGTTGGTATCCAAATCATTTTCAATTTTAGTACCATCACCATCCCCCTTCTTGATTATTTCTTCTATATCGTTTGATACGCAATCACCGATCCTAGTCAAGACGGCCGATGATAAGAAATCCTTTGGTAGCGTGTTGACGTTGAAACTCAGAACCGGATTCGTTTTCGTGGTCACGATCGAGGTTAGCGATTGCTGTGCTGACGTCACCGTTGACGTCACCGCTGCGCTCGTCTGTGACGTCACAACGTCCAATATATTTTTCGTTCTTTGACTAGTTTGGGACTTCATTGGCGATACGTTGGTATCCACAGGTTTGGGGTTTTGGTTTGGTATCGGCACAACGACTTTCTGTAGTGTTTTATTTGACAGTGCGCCTGTTGTTTTGATGCTTTGCGTGAGTACGGACGAACCGACGGTAACTTTTAAATTTAGTGTAGATGGTGATAATATCCTTATCTCCGGCTGTAAAATGGACAAATATTGTTAAAAAAAATTAATGACATTAAATGAAACTTATTTTACGGGTTTTATCGCGTAACCTTTTTAATTCTCTGCGAAATTAAAAAAGTCAAAATTAAACGCGATCCTTAATTAGTTAATTAGTCTTAATTAGTTTAATTTAAAGTGTAGTGTTCGCGTTAATATAAGGAATCAAAATTAATGACTATATATTTTAATGAAATAAGTTTTGTTACAGAATCTGGAATCAATAACCGGTAGCAGGATCGTCAATCCCTAAATAAATCCTAATTTTCATTCATTTTAACCGACTTTAAAATATAAAAAAGTTCTAAATTAGAATATATGGTTTTTAGTATGTATGTCACAAGAAGTCTCTCTCAATTGTTAACAATTATTATAACATAATAACATAACATAAACACTCACGCCTCTCACCCACGCCTCTCTCTCGCCTCTTCCACATCCATATACCTACGCACACATACTCCCGGTTAAGGCTACTCTTAATTTGGCTCCTTTTTAGTATATCGCCAATTATTATATAAACAAAAATGTAATGTTTTTAACAATTTTTTATATATTTTTAATTTTTTTTTATATTTAATTTTTATTCATTTTTGTTCATATAATAATTTTAACAATTATTATACAATATATAACGTAATTAACGCACATCCTCAGACACCCCAATTAGTATATTATGTTATAATCATAATACATACACTGAATTTTTATGCATTTATTATTTATCAAATTGGTTATACTAATTTCGAAAGAATTTTGTGGTCACAGTTACAAATCCACAAACGCAAAGACTTTAATGTGCTTGAAATAAAGTTCATTTTTCTTTATTTTTATTGAATGACAAAATTAGTATCTAATAATACAAATAAAACTGCACTTTTAAAAGTCTTATTGCCTTAAGTTACGGTTCATTTCAGTTTGTTTTGACTGTACAGATTTAGTATGACTGTAATTTACGTAGTTTTAATTATTTTTGGGATAAAAAATTACCTATATTAAAAATTATAGGAATCGGTTTAGTAAACGATTTTGAACAAACTACTTACTCAAAGTGCTTTAATTATGTTACATGTTGTATAAACAAAAATGTAATATTTTTTTATTATATAGGTTGACATAAAATTTGTTAAAAAAATATTAAAAAAATTAATTATATCAATTTGTTTAATAAAAAGAAAAAAAAAAGCTGATTTGAAAGCACGAAATTTTTTTTTCACATCAGCCTTCAAAGTCTGGGCTTTTATTCGCATGTGCACTTATGTGTCTTAGAACCGATTTCAAAAGCTATTAAGCGGAAATTATCTAGTTCTTTCTATTTCTTTGAAGTCGACTTCTATAGTAAAGTAAAAAAAAGTTTAAAAAATATAGTTCACTGCTTGAAGCCACTGAGCGAGCTATGGGAGCTATGCTCGGGGTTTCTCTGCGTGATAAACTTAGAAATGAGGATATCCACAGTGGAACCAGAGTAACCGACATAGCCCAAGGAATCAGGAAGCCGAAATGGCAATGAGTTGTTTATATAGTTCGAAGAACCGGCTACCAATGGGGAAGATAGCTTCTCGAGTGGTCGCCTCGTGCCGGCAGGCGAACTGTTAAGCGGTCACTACTGGACAGTGAAGTCCTGGTAACATATGCATTGATGCAGGTAGCTCAGGATCGTGCTACGGGACATTGCTTGAGGGAGGTCTATGTTCAGCACTGAACTTGTGAAGGGCTGTAATGATGATGATGATGATGACCGTTAATGATAGCAGAAAGTGAACTTGACTAATCGCGCTAGGCTCAGAGTACCACGTATTCACAACTGTGGTCACTTGTCAAGAGGTTTTTATACTTGGTAGAGCCACGCTGTAGCTATATTATGGTTGTAGCACGAATGGGTCGGCTCGACCGGGGAAGAACAACGCTCTCACAGAATACCAGCGTAAAATAGCAAGTTAATGTTTTGTATGATGAATTTAGAGAACCGGAGACCCTTTTTACTGGAAACGAGGTATCCATCCTCAGTCCTGAGGGGTGACATTGATTATTTAATTGAGGATAAGTCAAGATGTCTATGGGCCACAGCATCCACTTACCATTAAGTGGACTGTGTGCTCGTTTGTCACCTTTATTCTATAAAAAAGAACAAATAAAAATATTTCTTATCTATCTAGCTTACGTGTAGCTAAGCAGCGAGACTTACGCCGGGTTTGGTTATGGTCGGCCATTTTGGAGATTTTATCACGAAATTGGGCGGTAGCGGTTGTAGCTTAGATGCTGGCAACACAATCTTTTTCCCGTCCGGCTTTTTCTCACTAGACGCCGGAATAAGGATACTTTTACTGGTGGGCTCTTTGTTGAAGGTGTCATAGTTCAGATTGTGATCGGGCAACGTCTTCTTGAATTGCCCGAGCAGATTCGCCTTTATCGATTTTAATCTGTAAAGAAATTAAGTAGGTTTTTGCCTTTGCTTTGCCTGTGGTTTGTTAATATCCTACACTAGATGTAATCACGACTTCGTTTGCATTGAATTATTTTCTTCAATCGTTCTATAGTCGAATAAACCAGTTATTACCTCAATTTAAAACTACATTATTTTGAAACCGTCAAAGTATGGATGACTCCTAACATCGAGGGTTCTTTACAATAATAACTACTTCTTATTAAATAAAACTAGTAGTGTAGGTTTTAATCGCATTTAATTTAAACTATCGATACTTTTACTTGCTAGTGGTATCGAAGGAAAGTATCGATATCTACTTATATCAATATTTATATATTATGTTCCTTCAACCATCAAAAAGTTCACCGCAAAAAGGCCCTAGGGCCTATTATAAATGTGTCTAATGACGCATATTAAAAACTCACTAGCTGTTCCCCGCGACTTCACCTGCGTGTAATTAAGTTTTAGTTTATTTGCGCAGAACCCTTATTCTTTTTCTAAATTAAAGAAACCTAAGTTACTCCTTATATCATCAGCTATCTGCCAGTGAAAGTCCCGTCAAAATCGCACCAGCCGTTTTGGAGATTAGCCGGAACAAACAGACAGACAAACAAAACATTTCACAACTGTGTTTTTGTTATGAGTACCGTGTATACTTTCATATGCATTTAGAAAAAAGCTGTTATTTTGACATTACAAATAGACATTTCAATTTTACTTATTTGTATAGATACTCCAACCTAAATAATATACAGGTATCCCATATCATGTAGTGGGTCGGAGGCGACAGAGCGAAACTGAGACGGGAGAAGGGCAGCGGCATCTTCTTGATAACAACTCAAAATAAAAAAAAAACTGCGTTTGCCATAAGACCTACTAAGTATGACAGCTATGGCAAAATCTAAATATATGGCATTTTATGGGGGAGGCTGTAGTTGTGTGGCTACGAATAAATGAACAAAAAAAGGTATAAGTTATAAAACCTTTTCAACGATTTTCTCACCTGACTTGTATAGAATCATATTCGGTGCACATCTTATAACATTTCTTGCAGATAATTTTCGAGTATGCATTGTCCTCTTTTATGGGCTTCTCAACGATTTCACAGAGCACCTCCAAAAGGCTCTTTCCTGATTGTAATACGGTCTGAGGCGGCTGGCAAACATCTGATTATTTTAACTTTATTTATATTATTTAATAATAAAAACAAAACTAAAAAAAAACAACAAAAAACGACAAAATTATAACTAAAACTTGTGTAATAACGAAAAATAATACACTAGTCTTTGTGGGTGTTAAAAAAAAGAAAAAAGAAAGAGTTAGTTGTTACAACTAACTCTTTCTTTCTTTTAACATTTATACATTTGTCAACCCTACCAGGGTTGACAAATAAATCGCATGATTAAGACTTAACTTAAAAAATATTGTCAACCCCTAAAATTTTCAAATTCACAAAATATTCAGAACCGAAGGCTCTACACATAAGCTACTTGCAAAATAATGAATATTTTGCTCTGGATAAACGTTCCAAAAACGCAATTTGAGCGAGTTAGACCGATTTTTAAAATGACACGACTCGCGAGTCATACGCAACACAGATAAAAAACCGATGGCACGAAAGGCGTGCTATTCGCAAAGTCAGTAGTAATGTGGTTGGCTCAGGCCAGTGCTTTGTGGCATTCCTTGGGGAAGGTATATTCAGCAGTGGACTTGTGAGGGGCTGTAATGATGATTTTGTTTTGTTTTATGGAATAAGGATGGCAAACGAGCACACGGTCCACCTGATGGTAAGTGGATGCTGCGACCCATAGACATCTACATTTATCCTCGATTAAGATTCAAAGCGAAGATGCATTGTCACCCTTGAGGACTAAGATGGAATGCCTCGTTTCCAGTAAAAAGGGTTCTCTGGATCTCTACACTTACCGTACGAAACAACTTGTATTCTGTGAGAGAGTGGTCCTTTCCCGGTCGAGCCGACCTATTTGTGATACAACCATAATATAGCTGCACCGTAGCTCTACCACGTAAAAAATTATAAATGATGAATACAGTATTGTAAAGATGTTGCAGAAATGTTAAATGCATTCTGTGCTTTCAATACGACCTAATACCTTATTATCTGGAATATATAATAGAATTGACTGCCGCTTTGGTCTAGTGGTCGTAAATGCTCAGTCGCATGATCTTCCGGGTTCGAATCCCGGGTTAAAATCAATTATTGGTTTTTCTGACAAGAAATTTTGTATCACTATACCCGGAGGCGGGAAGTTGGCGGTATTTCACCCCTGTGCTTTGAGAAAGTCGTTGGCCCTGCGCCTGATTTCTCTCCGGTCGTTTCAGATTACCATACCATCGGAATGATGGTATGGTAATACGAGATATGCGAGAGTGAGGGAATCGAGAATGCACCTGTGTTTGCGCATACCCTCGTGCACTACAATTCTGCCCTACGTAGATGGCTAGTCTTCGTTGAGCTGACCGAAATTCAGTCTGGAAGACATTATCATAACATAGGGTAAGCACTTATGAAGGTAGTTAAAGGACCAGCAGGATTACCTGCTTTCGAAATGTTTCACACCTTTCCAAGTTTATTTTCGAATCTATTTGAAACACAATTTTGTTTTAATCGTGGTAGAGCTACGCTGCAGCTATATTATGATACTAGCACGAATGGGTCGGCTCGACCGGGGAAGGACCAAGCTCTCACAGAATACCAGCGTAAAATAGCAGCTCAATGCTGCTGTGTTTCGGATGGTGTGTGTAGAGAAACGAAGAGGCTTTTTACTGGAAACGAGGTATTCGATCTTAGACCTCATGTGTGACAGCTGACAACGCATCTGTATATTATAATCGAGGATAGATGTAGACGTCTATGGGACGCATCTCCTTACCATCAGGTGGATCGTGTTCTACAACAAAATAGGTACCATCAAGCGTTTTTATCATACACATCCTGGTATTTTTTTAGCCGGAGATCATTTCGATAAATTTAAAAGTTCACTTCTTAAATATTAAATAGGACAAACTTACAAGCGCCATCTAGTGGCAAATAGCTGAAGAATTGCGTGTTGATAATTCCAATAAAACTACCTTTTTATTGGTTTTGAGAGTATAAAATTACACTGAGTTTGAATAAAATTAGATTAATTCAGATTTCGGCTTTCGATTCCGTCGGGACTTACTCCCGGCTGGTTTTTGAATTTTAAAGTTCGAACCAAATCGAACCCAGAAATAAATAATATCGATTAATGCTTATATAGGTCCAGATTTATTTGCCCAAAGAACGTTATTAATAAATTAAAATTTACTTCTTTATTATTATTATGGATAAATAGGTACAATATAAATAGGACAAACTAGTCAAGAAAAAGAATTTTCGTAGCCTCTACGAGCGCTATCTAGCGACGGACAGCTGAAGACTTCCGTTCATAATTTAAAATATTTCAAAAACTGAAGTAGGCAGATTTTATAGCAAAAGCAACTTACATTTTCTTCAAAAAGTTTTACAGCATTCCTTAAAGAGATAGCACCTTTTATGTTGCACACGAAGCAAGATTGGTTCATCCTAAAATATTATAAAAATTAAAAAAAAATTATTTTCATAATTTATTAAAAATTAATTAATTAAGAAAATAAATTGAAAAATTAATAATGAAGAAAAGCTGAATACCCTGATTTATGGATATTATTATTTATTACACGCTTAGGTTGTATGACTTATGGCCTTTGTCTTTTTTAATTATGCTTAAAAAATCAATACTCATTACACCATGATAATGGTGGTTAATATAGCGCATAGCGCCATATTATAGCACGCTATCTCTCCATAACACATAGCGCGTGCTATGTAAGTAGCCGCCACGGCGCTATTGCGCTATGGCGCTATTAAGTATTAATATCTAGCGGCAACTAGTTCTAACAGCAGCGCTGTTGGGAGAGGACGTGTGACGCAAATTCGATCTAGTAGCACGCTATTCATCGCGCGCGACCTTAGTGTTAAACGTTGTTTAGTTAGTGTATACTGTATATTTATAAGTGATCGAAGGACACAGCTGTCTGCTATAAAAGAAACCTAACTAATGTTTTTAAATTTAAATAAAATATAGATACAAAAGTGTATATATTAGTGTATGTAAATAGTTGATTTTTATAAATAAAATCAATAAACTTTTAAATACACCCTTATTTGATTTATAATTTATATTAAGGTTAAAATAACGTTTAGATCAATTATAATTAATAATTTTATTAATAAATAAAAATACGTGTGGCACTCGGTGACTGCCGCGGTAAAGCTATTGCATAGCATTTTTTATCAACTTATGCAATTATAATTATTTATTTATTTTATTTATGCAGTTAAGTCTTTGATATTAAATCAAGTTACACTTTTTGAGCGTGGTGACCGATAAGAAAACAATTATTTTCTATTGAAAATGAGAAGTTAATATTCTTTAAAATATTTTTAATATCTTACAATACATTTAGGTTATTCAGGAATTTTTATCATTGAGTTAGCAGCTAGTGTACACGCATACGTCTAGTCGCACGCACACAAATACCGTGCCGAAGTCTGCGGTGCGAAGTCTGCCGGTGCGAGTCGAGTGCCGAAGTCTGCCGAACTGAAACGACGTTAGACGATGCACGGCTTTCAACGCCACACCTCCGTGCCCGTCGGAGTGGGGAGCGTGAGGTTTTTTCGTTACGGAATTTCTGGATTCGGTCCCCGCGCTCAAGGCCCGCGATAGAAGCTATGCAATAGCTTAATAATTAATTTTATTTCGAATTGAATAAAACTAAATTTACGGATTCTATCGCGTTTATTTAACTGATTTTACTTATTTTTAATTCCCGACGTTTCGGGTGCTTTACAGCACCCATGGGTCACGGGGGGGACTGAGATGTTTGACGTCCCAATGTCATTGTTAGCCCGGCTACCTTCAGTTTTTGAATATTAATTTTTGGTCCGATTTACGCAAAACGAACTCACAGTATCTTGAAGTCTTGCAGTGGTATGCTTGGGTTTGGGTTTAATTTTGTTAATTATAGGATCCCAAGCAGATGGCAGCAACCAACCATCTTCTCTATTGAAATTAGGATGTTTTTTTCATTTCAATAGCCTCACGTATCATCCTTGGTAGGAATCGGTGTTCTTTTGCGAGGGTTTGTGGTTTATCAAATCTGATGTAATGGTTGGGACGATCTTGAACATGTTCACAGACTGCAGACTTCCCGGAGCGTCGGTGCTTCACGTCTATGTTCTTTCACGCGGGTTTTATGGGTCTTTTTGTTTGACCTATGTAAGAGAGACCACATTCACAGTCTAACTTGTACACTCCTGCATCTTGTAGAGGGATTGGTAAAAATTGGCTAATCTTCTTCGGCGGCTTGTAGTATGTTTTAATGGAAGCTCGTTTCAAGATGTAGCCAACCTTGTCTGTGACTCCTCTGACATATGGTAGTACAGCAGGCACACGCTCGACTGTGGCCGGCTTCACTCGGTCACTGTGACGTAGGCGCGGGATCCGAAGCTTGTTGTCTTGCAACACTTGCTTGACATGCTGAAGCTCCGCGGCCAGATGTTTTCTGTCACAGATCCCTCGTGCTCTCTGAAACAAAGATTTACCCACGGTAGCTAACTGTGAAGGATGACGGTGAGATTCACCATTTAAATATCGGTTGGTATGGGTCTTTTTTCTATACACAGAAATTAAAAATAACTAAAATCAGTTAAATAAACGCAAAAGAATCCGTAAATTTAGTTTTAGTTTTATTCAATGTGTAATTCGCGTAAATTTAAGAAATCATAATTTTATTTCGTTTTGAAAAGTACATGCCTTAAAAATATTTTTAGGATTGTAGAAAGTCATAAATCTGAGAAAAGTATGAAAAAGCGTTTATTGGTTGGAAATAAACGCGGTCTATCCAATGAACGACATGTCTTTACATGCTACGAGATATAGCGCGTTGCAAAACTTAACGCGCTCGCCCGCCTTCTACACGCTTTCTTATAAATAGCGCGCTATAACAGTGTGTTTAATAGCGCGCTAGAAATTTATAGTTTATAGTCTGTAGCGTGCTATTGATTTATAGTCGTTTTGAACAACTTTACACCATGAAGGGTTCTCTAACCTTCATGCATTACACCATAGACTTGTCGATATGGAGTGTAGAGGTAAGGAGTACAGACTCTGTATAAAAAAGTGTCCGTATGAAAGCGCTCAATAGGTGGCGCCATTGTAGCTACAGTCTAAATTTTAAAGTACTTTTTATAATTTTTTATTGCATAATAGACTTTCATCATAATTCTTTTTATAATAATTATTTTATTGCTTCTAAAATTTTTATTTTCAAAATCACTCTCAACGTATTTTACGGCGATTTATCATACCCTGTTAGCTACAGGTTATGATAGCTGAGCGCTGTTGTGGAGAGTTTTTGAACTGTTATTTACTGCTTACAGAAGGGCACATTTTCAATTATTCTCCTATGGGAGATTTTCCTCCTTACCTCTATACTCCATGGTGTAGAGGTAAAGAGTACACTGTGTTTAAAAAGTGTCCGTAGGAAAGCGTTAAATAAGGGTGGCGCCACTGTAGCTACAGTCTAAATTTTAAACAACTTTTTATAATTTTCTTATTGCACAGACTTTCATCATAATTCTTTTTACAATAATTATTTTATTGCTTTCAAACATTTTATTTTCAAAATCACTCTCAGCGTATTTAACGGCGATTTAACTTACCCCGTAGCTACTCGAGCGTTGTAGGGGAGAGTTTTTTAACTGTTATTTACTGCTTACATATGGACACTTTTTAAACTATTCTCCTAGAGTTGGTACTCCTTACTTCTACACTCCATACTTGTCGATCATCTAAATCATGGAGGTTAGAACACGAGAACGATCGCTACGGGCTAAAGTATAGCCCGTCTGTACCTGAAAATTTGAAGAATTTATAGCCGCGCTGCCGTCGGTAAGTACCTAGCATCTGCAAAGTAATTTTGAATTATTGACAAAAAGAAACATTATAAAATGGTTAAATATTATCAAAAAATAATAATAATTAAAAATTTATATTTGTAATAATTCATAAAATTTATGATACAATTATAAAAAACGTAATTTATAATAATTTTAAGTGAAAGTAAAGTGACAGCCTATATAAGTCCCACTGCTGGGCACAGGCCTCCCCTCATTTCTGAGAGGGTTTTAGGGCAAGGAAGTGTCCGCCGCGCTGCCCCAATGCATGTTGGCGAACTTCACATGTCTTCGAAATATTTTTTTCCTTATTCCTCAGACATGCAGGTTTCCTTACGGTGTTTTCCTTCACCGCCTCGCACGTGGTAAATCAGCACTTAAAACTGCAATTAACAATTTCATTGGTGCCGGCGGGGATCGAACCCGGGTTACTCGCGTTCTGTTATATTTACAGCGAGTGTTAACTATCTGAGCTACCATAGCTCTCACGGCTATTAATAAATAATAATAACTTACTAATAAATAATAATAATGATACTATAACACCGAACTCTATATATACAGTGGTCAGTTATATTCATTTCAAACTAGCACACAACATCCCGCTTTTATTGAGACAACTTAGCGATCGCAGCGCTTCACTAACTTGTCCATATTTCTGGGACACTATTTTCTGCAGCGATCGTTCTCCTGTTCTCTAACCATGGGCTCCACATCCTCGAACTCTCAACGTAGATAATCTTCCATCTACGCAATAGATACTCTATAGTTCAAATAGGCTGGATCATTTTACGCATCATTGGTTATTAGTTACAAGATAAAGGCTAAATAACGAGTGATTAACAAAGCTAAGCGCGAAAGTGATAAAACATAAACATACAACGACACATTCCACTCACCAGCTAAAATACTGATACAGTAAATTCGGAACGTATTCTCAGAAGCGTTCCGTTTTTTATTTACTTGAATTTTTTTTTTTTATAAAAAGCTTAGGATAATATTGTATAGCATGGTAATAGCTTCAAATGAAACTAAAACTTATTCTTATCACTTTTAAACTTTTACTTATGCATTCATGTATTTCAAGTTGTTTATGATGTTGAAACAACTTAGTGTAAATGACAAATTATTTCACTTGCAGGTAAGTCAGTCATTGTAGTTAAGTATAGGTAGTGATTTTAATAGATTAGTCTCGTTATCGAGTGTAAATATTTTTTTTTGTATAGAGGTATCTTTATTTCTTAAAGGTATAAATAAATAGTGTAGTGTCTCTCTTTAGCTCAAGAATTGATCTAGACTCTCTAGAAGACTTATCTTCATCGAATTGATGCCATTGAGTTAAGCGCTTGGTATTAGCGTTCTAACCGTTGCATTTTGTCAATATTTACAATAATTACGGGCCGTTACGCCGAATAACTCGTTTCGAGTCGAACGACTAACCAGTGATTTTTAAGAGAAATGAAATAAAAGTATATTGCGAGCACATTGCACATGTTGTTTTTTTTTGCTATTCTATATTTGAAAAAAAAAATAGAACATATAGGCCAAAAACCTTGAAATAGTGTAAGCATACTAAAAATAAAAAA